TCTGTAATAATTGTACCCGATATTAGGCAAATAGGATTCATAGACGTGCTAGGAGGGCATTTTTGATTAGATACCTCTTCAAGAAGTTACAGAAACAATCAATACGTATATATAAGAATTCGGATTAAAAGCTGATGGTCTTCAATTTATGTCCGCTATTGAGGAACGTTTGGCACCCGCCGTATCCACATACAATTCACGTAGTTTAGGGCGTGCGTTACAAGCTACAAGTACATAAATAACGGTTTCCTTTCTGTTTTCCTCCATGTTCAAATGTAGCCGTAAATTCCGATTATTACATCTACAAATGTTTGTTCTATTATGTTTACGTCCGATTCTCATTACCATTGCCCTAGATCACCGCTTCAAATAGTCATGCCGAGTTTATCTGTTTTAAATGCAGAAATAGTTCAATGCAATTCAGATTAGCATTGATGATAACAATTGAGACACTTCTGGCACTTTAATTAAATCTATGACAGTTGCAGAATTTATATTCTCGTAAATATTATTCTTGTTGAGTTACCAGTTGTCTACTTATAGCTTTGGTTATATGCGTCAGAAGTTCTACTGGGGTAATAATATGCGCTTGCAATCACAGACCACTTCCAGATGTCCAACATAGGCCTCTCCCTGTATACGAGAGTCACTTAGCTAATCTAATCTGAAGCACCATTCAAATGAAATCAACGATGTTAGATAAATGCGCCGATAGATCGATGCCAGCGATTTTGCAAACGGTGTGAGCAAACAAAATAGGGTGTTCTTCTAACCAAACGGATATACAAGTGTGATAGAAACACACAAATTGTACAGAAAGAATTTAAAACTAGATAATTGCTATGAGTAATGACCAGTCAGTGCAATGACCAACAGTTAATTTCTCTAACTAATTATTAAGAAACGAAGGTTGTAGCTAACCAAACCGTCGGCGTCGGTCCTAATATCTTCAATTTACTCATAATGGCCGCCCCTCCTCATTAGCCTAGCTAACGCGGCGCGACGCAAGCGCATCGTTATGGTGGATAGTCACACACGCACATCGGTGTAATGATGCGATTTTGATTCAGTGGCATGCGTTGAATACGACATTTTTAATTGCATTCATTAATGGCTTGTAATCTGAAATGAAGAAATACATAGCTCTGTGGCATAAAAATGCTTTTAAGTCCATCTTTCTAATTTCCGGCCATGTATCGGTTATTGCTTGGTTTCAAGATGGTATTAATTCCTGACCGACATAATCTAGGAAGTTGTTTTAATGTTTAAAATATCGATCATTTGTATTGTCTTGATAAGTAATTTGTACTACTGACCTTTATAAAAATATCTTTCATAAAAAAACGGTAAGTATCTGATTAATTATATCAAAATCATTTTATGAGCTCATCGCTTTCTTACGTAGGTACACTCATAGGTCTTATCTCACAAAAGGTAATTCGTCATTCGATAATTCGGGCTCAGATTAAATCCAACCTTTTGGGGCAAACCTGCAACCCACCTTCCAGACTAGATATTGGACTTCTTAGGTGATATTTGTTGTTCACCTAACTATTGACAAATGGGCAAGCAAATTGATTCACATCGGTGTTCAGGCACGTGCATGCCCAGTGAAATCATGCGTCAAATTATGCAACGCTCAGTGAAAACAGCACGCATGCCGCATACCGAGCGTTTGTGGGTTAGATTTGTGACAGTATTCCCTGTGGCACAATGGCCAAAAGTCGTCGGATAGGTAGGCCAAACTTGAATTAAATTATGTAAATTTTTATTTGAGCAATAATTTTTAACTTAACTGGTATAGGCAGAAGGTATCGGTTAAGCCTCTTTGGTACAGTGATTAATAGTTATTTGGATTAGTTTGACTTACTTTCTTCACACGTGGATGCAAAACCTACATCTTCATACAAGATTTGATAATATCAATAAAACATGCCAAGACGAAAATTGTGACAAGTGTTGAAATGCTCATTGTTAATTCAGGTTTCAATAATCAGTTACATCATGTAACTGTTTCAAAATATGTAAAATAGCCACATAATTACCTTACTACGACAAAACTTGGTATTTCGCGCCATTTTTTAGATCACATTAGTGTTCTTAAAATAGAGTGTTTAGTAATAGTCTCGTGACTGTTTAACAATAAACTTCTTCATACACGACAACGTGTTTCTAATCTCACTTCGTATTCGTACACTGCACACTTTCATTTAATTTTGTTTTTATTTTCACTACCAAGTATATTGAATGAACTTGGCCCCATTTTCGGTCATTATTTTCTTTCTAACTTAATGAGTTCAACAAACTTTCTTAACTCACGTAGTTAGTAATTAAAATCACAAATTAGCTTCGGATATAAGATTAGAAGGTTACAAAACTGGCTGGAATATCTATTTTTAACTGTTTAAGCAATTTATTTCAACAGCATGTTATGACCTACCTTGATGAGATTACGTTTTCGAGAGCCTCTGTTGGACAACCAAATATTGAATATTTTATTCTGTTATACATATTTAAAGCTGTCGTTCGTGACATGGCCTTTTCATCTAATCGAAGGTCCAGACAAATCGATGTTAAGATTTATTGATAGTAATTTGTCTATATGCAGAATTGATCCAAGTTACAGCATTTAATGATATAATTAAGTCACACCTTTAAAACCACTTCCACCAAGATTTCATAATGAGGAACCGGATCCTTTGGATAAAAAATATTTTAAGATGTCCTTTAAAGGAATGTACTTATTCAATTAAAAAGTAAGGAAATGCCCGGTATAATTTCACACCACACACTATTTATCAGGCCTGGTATGTCATTTTAATCATAAATTACTTTTACCCTTTTTGCGAAAAAAATGCCACTTTTTTCGCTGTATTTAAATTAATTGCAGTCATAATGGCGTACACAAAGTTTTGTAGCTATTACCATATAAATACTGATGTTATTTCTCTTTGTTATTATTATAATAGTCACCTTCACCTTTGTAGTGATAAGTTATATTATGACGTCTACTAATGCTTGTCAATTATGAGTAAGTTGGAGTTTATGTGTACGCAGACGGTTTTAATTAAACGTCGGGAGTCCTCATAAATTATGCTGAAGGGCTACACATTTTCTCCTATATTTGGACTACAACTATTGCTAATCTTTTGCAAATAGATGATAAACGAATAGGTGGCAGTGGCAATCTTCTAAAGCGGTGATTAGATGCAATTTTGTTGGCGTGTGTTGTGCTATTTTGTTTCCAGTTTGCATTATGCATTCGTGTTCTGAAAGTATATTTGACAAACAGCCTTCAAAATAAAATCTGTAGGTGCCACTGGACTGTACCAGTTTATTAGTTACTGGACAAGATTTCAGATATCGGACAGCCAGTTTCTGAAAGTCAACCCTTTTACTAACCGACTTCAAAAAGAGAAGGACATTCTTATTTTGACCTATATGTATGTATATTTGTGCGTGATTATCTCGCAATTAGCTGAACCGATTTTGATGCGTTTTTCAGAAAAATGTTTGACACACTCAGAAGGTTTTAGTATATTATTAAAAAGGTTTTAATTAACCGACTTAAAAAAAGAGGGGGTCAAAGTCGGTTTTTTTAAATGTAGATTATAACAGAATACAATTTGTATTATAACTTTCGTGAGACATACTAAATAAATTATTACTCGACTAGTTTCAAGCCATGCTAGAGGCTCATATTCATGAGCAGCATTTCGCGACCTGCAGCGTAGTAGCAGCGCGAAACGAGTCCAGTTCCTCGTCAAATTATTACGGGAGTAAGCCGAAAACATAATAATTTATTCAGAATAGAATTATCTAATTTACCTTTATAGGGAAACCTGTTCACTTTAATTTCAGGCCTGAAGCAAACTTGGTTGCCTTAACTATCAAGGTGACATTTAACATTAACAGTATTTTAAAATAACTTAGTTACCCAGCTGAATCAATATGAAGACATCATAATTCCAAGTGCTGCGTTGAAATTGTGAATCGCAATTAATTATTTCAGAAGTAGGTAATGTACCAAATCTTAACGGATCTCGTAGCGTGCGCATAGATTACATCTAGATTGCTTACTGATAGCAAAATAGTTATTGTAATCGATATGCTACCGTAGATATTAAGTAGAGATAACCGACATCCTAGTCTACGGAATGACGTGTTTCCTGCGGACAAATCGAGCGACGAGTTTGGTTATGAGTTACGGGTCGATAATGTTTCGTCAAACTTCGTTTAACATTGTCACGAAACATAGATAGAACATTACAGAAGCTTCACTCCTGAAAATATTTTGAACTTATTATTGTACTGGGAAGTATTTTGACGTTCTCTGAGCGATATTAGAGCACGATTTGTATGACGGAATAAGGACAATCCTGTGGCATAATAAAAATAATTTACTAGAAGTTTCTGAAGCGATAAATATCTTTTTTTTTATATTTTTCCAATAACGTCTATTGGTAATGCCAAGCCCATTTTTTGTTCACAATCTGTGAGCGATTGTATCTAGATCTTTGGTGGCCAATCGGCGTATATTTGCAGTACTATGACGTCATACTGCGTTGTAGGTCAGCCATGATTGGAAAGCCACACACCTTGGCCAATGGTTCCAATTAGTAGATACCTACTAAGGTTATCTAATGGCCCTTAAAACAAATTGCTGGCCTTATCTGTTTGTTTTTCTAACTTTGCTTTGACCTCATGTTAGTAGGTTTGTTAAACTTACTTTTTTTCTAAAGGTGAGGTAAAAGAAAACCCGTTTGAGCAATCTACAAGTCGATTAAAACCTTTATTGGAATGACATTTTTAAAATTTCAAACATTTGCTGTTTTAGTACACAAATATGCTTTTACATAAAACAAAGTTCATCATTAAAATCACCAAACACCATGCAACACTAACTGTATGAAAATACAGAATATAAAAAGTCTTAAATTAACTAAGTAGGTAGTTCAAATGGTTAAAATTCTTATGTTAGGCAGTCCTTTATTGTAAGTTTACTTTCTTTTTAGTTTCTGGCTGACACAGGGCAAGCACATTGGCAGAGAAAATTGTTGATAATAGAAATAGAAGAAAAAGAAAAGGAAATGTACACAGGAATATGCAGAGATAAGTAGAGGAAAGAGGTAAGGCAAGTGCGGAGGAGGCTTCACAAACACTGTACCCACAGTTAACAACACCATACCAACCACAGATATCACAAAAATAAGACTCAAAAAGGTTAACATGTGGGATGAATCCTTCTTATTTGGATATAAAATCTTATTCACTTTGTTAGCATTGAAAATTGAGAAATACCCAGAATTGGGCTGCGATAACTTCAAACAAATGCTATAGAAGGATGTATAGATTACAGTAGTTGCAATGAACGGTAAAAGAAGACCATCTTTTAGTAATAAGGGAAGCATACTAAATGTAGAGACTAGTAGAAACCAGAAACACATGAACGGGTCCTCGGGGAAATATAACGCTACCGGTATAGCAGCTAACAAAATAGATTTTTCGTGCACTTGGAATGAGAATAAGAAGAATGCAAGGGACACATTAATCAAACAGGGAACAAACTTCCTTATGTTTATCCTGAAGAATAAGTCAGCACAAGCTGGACCCGCAGCCATAGCTGTGATCAGTAGGCAGGTCTTTGCCATCTCTTGGTTACTGTAAATAGTCTTCAATTTGATAAAGACATTTACCATACACCATACATTCGACACTTTATCTTCGAAAATACCTCTATCCAATGGGAACAACCTGTGTACAAGCTGAAAAATATGATCCCAACCCTTTAGGAATGGATACCAAACTATTACAAAGGTAGCGATCACTGCCACAGCAAGCTTATTGAAGCAGCGGACGAAGTGAGACAGCTTGCCCCTACCCAGTGGCATACCTATAAAACATTTCCTTAACAGATAGAAGAAAAATGGCAGAGCATGGTACAATTCCATCTGCTTGTAATTCAGAGCAAAAACAAAAAATATTGTAGCTAAAGTATCATTCTTAATTGCTATTATAAAGAATGTTGCCCACAAAAAGAAGCCAAGAGAAACACAATTGTACTGGAAGTGACCATAGTCAATCAATATTATTCCAGGGTACAGTAGAAATAATGTGGTTGATATGTCCGTTCTTTTCAGGACACACTTTGGCTCTTTAGGTTCTTTACCAAGCACTCTTTCAGCATCAATACATATGCACAGCACTGCAGTCACATACAAATAAATGTCACTTAGAAAAACAGTCCATCTCATGAAGGTTTTATGGGTATCGCTTTCGTAACCCCTCGACGCAAAGAGACGCACTGATTCTGGTTCCAGCCAGTCTGCCACCAGCCCCATGAGCAAACTGTGATATGCCGTCAGTGGTGGATAGTCCAACCCCCAGTACTGCAGATCATTCTGCGTCGTATTATGATACCATTTTAGAACGGGAGTATGCACTGTTATTTCTTGCCAATGTCTTTGTGCTTCAAAATCGCCATGCATTGGAGGTTTCTTATATCCAGAATAAGGATAAGCAGCCACGCACCATCTCACAAGCAAGGAGAACAATATACCGGGTAGTAACGCCTGTTTTGTCACAGTAAATTTATCCGGATCGGCTCTTCGCGTCATTGTACTTTAATATGAGGTTATAAATTCAATACTAACACTTATTTTCATTCAGAAATTACATAAACTTTACAACGCGGCACAGGAGGTTCGATAAAATTTTTGACAGATTACTTACGACGTGAACGGCGTCCAAATCCTTGGTCAGCTTCTCCTTCAAATATGCCTCGGTATACACCATATTTTTTGATCAAAATCCATTTAACGTGAAACAAAATACCATGCACGGTTCACGAAAATTATTTAACACTTTTTAATGGAATTTGCAACAAACGAAAACGGGTTTGATTCACACAAGTAATGAATTTTTTCGAAAGTGACAAAACGAGAAAGCGCCTCACGAAAGTGAAATTGCGGTCGCCGAACTGACGAATTTCACACCGGACGAGTTCCCATGAGTATTAACCAACAAAATTAGATAATCGCCAACGACTGGTCAAAGTTTGAACAAAATGTGGGTTATAGAATTTAGTTGCTTAACCGTGACCTTGACCACTACTATACTATTCGATATCACTGGATACCATGCACTTTACTCATTTTATTTTCGATTATCTCACCATTACTATGAACGTCAATTTTAAATAATTAAATGATTATCTAATTTGTGAAATACTTCAGTTTCATGAATTTCATCAATAAATAAATTACAAAATTATACAATTACCGCTTTTCGCATTTTTAAATTTGGTACTCATAGTGTTGTTACGAGAATATCTGTAAAAATAACTATATAGCACTTCATTCATAGCAAGATTTATCGGAGTAAAGTCGCCCACTCATCATACTACAATTATGAAAAATAAAAAAATCACAAATGTTTTCAAAATATATCGATCTTGTCACTTGTCTTTGGCGTAGATATATTTTATTTTACCATAAACGCACTAATGGCGGCTAATTCAATCTTTTCAGATTTATAATATTTTTTTTTCATGTTTCTTTTAGTAGCTTCTTATTAACTAACAATAAATTAGTTTTCAATTTGCTATGAAAATGGAGGGAGAGAGTTCTCCATTAAAAAGAAATTTGACTGAGTGGAGATTTAGCCAATATCCAAAATATATTTTGTTACCAATTGATGAAAATCACGACCAAATTAAATCCAATATAAAGAATGTCGTTTTTTCCGAGGTAAGTACTAATATTTTAGACAATATTGATCAATGACCAAAGCTTCTGGTGACGAAAATAACGACATTTACGCCCAAATACTGAAAGACTACTAAATTTTAAGTTATAATTAAATATCGTATCATCTCTGTAATTTTACAAAGAATTTGTAGTGAGGGATATATATTTAAGCACGAATTAAAATTTAGTGACCTTTGAGTGTTTCAACGTTAGTCTTATATTGTTCGTTTTAGATCCTAACTTTCGTAATTTTTTATTAGGTAACTCCTCGACCTTTAGAACGGAACATAAGATTGGTTTGCGCATCACAAGATGCTCTGACCAACATCTTAGACATGGATCCGGATATAGCTAACCGCGAGGAATTCGCGGAATTTATTGCCGGACGTAAACTGCCTTATGGGGCTTTGCCCGTGGCGCACAGGTAGGAGAATATACAATAACTGTTTTTTTTCCTGTAGTAGTTTTTTGAGACACATTGCAACGAGGCAGATTGGCAATATTTCAATGGTATATTCATTTCAGGTATGGTGGCCATCAGTATGGATTATGGGTTGGTCAACTGGGTGATGGTAGAGCTCATATCCTTGGCGAATACGTAAACAGGTAAAAAGGTATATCATGAGAAGCCCCACCTGATGTTCCGTTTCTGAGCTTCGTATTTTGCAGACGTGGAGAAAGATGGCAGATCCAGTTGAAGGGTTCCGGACAAACTCCATATGCTCGCGTTCATGATGGTCGCGCGGTCCTACGATCTGCTATTAGGGAGATGATTGCCAGTGAAGCTTGTTATTTCCTAGGCATACCTACTACCAGAGCTGTGGGATTAGTAGGTAAGGAGTAGGTATTTGAAAATTAAAATGACCGTATTTTAAAAGAAGGAAAATAAAATCACTTGTCTTAATGTTTAAATATCAATAACAAAGTTACGTTACCTTGACCTTCTAGGTCTTTATAATGTTATACCTACTAATGTTATAACTACTAACTACCCATCCACAATCAGGTTCAAATGCATGAAAACGATAGAACAAGATCCCCATCAATTTACACCTCTATTATCAAATCAAGTTGAATGTCCAATGCTAAAAATAATTATTTCCGGAGGCTGAAAAATTGGAAGTTGTGAAATTCCGACACAAAGCTTCAATTACAGTGAGCGACGAGGCAATAGTCAGGGACGTGTATTACAACGGATGTCCACGGCGAGAACGAGCGGCTGTCGTACTGCGCTTGTCTCCGAATTGGTTCCGCTTTGGTTCCTTGGAGATTTTGTCGAGAACTGGCGAGATAGCTGTACTTAGGCAACTCTCAGACTTTATCATAAAGGTTTGTCAACGAAGCAAACTATAATCTTCAAGACAAAGTCACGGTAATATTTATAATAAAACTAGCTTCTGCCCGCGACTTTGTACGCGCAATCCCGATATTTCCCGTTCCCGTTCTTGATTTTCGGTAAAAAGTAAAAAAAAGAATTGGGTAAAAAGTATCCTATGTCCGTCTCCTGGCTCTAAGCTCTCTCCCTATCAATTTTCAGCCAAATCTGTTCTGCCTTTCTTGAGTTATAAGTGGTGTAACTAACACGACTTTCTTTTATTAGATTACCGTGACATAGTCCAACGAGGCAGCTAAGCTAATAATAATTGTCACCATCTTATCAATTCCAGGAATATTTTCCTGATATTCAACTGAGTGATGAGAACCGTTTCATCAGAATGTTCTCGGAAATTGCTCATAAGACTTTGGATTTAGTTGCTAAATGGCAAGGTAAGCCACGTTTGAATAGGAAATAAATGTTTCACATATATTAAAACTTGCGTGTGACATACTAATTGATTATTATGTTTTACTTAAGTAAGTACTTACTTACTCACGTAACTGTTTGACGTGGATCTCGACTAGTTTCAAGCCATGCTAGGGGCTCATATTCATGTGCAGCATTTTGCTTCCGCTCGAATCTAGTCGAGTTGCTCGTCAAACAGTTACGTGAGTAAGCCGAAAATAAAATAATTAGGTACCTAGTTTCAAAAATAGTAATTTGATATTAATTTGCTAAATTACAGGTCTGGGTTTTACACATGGACTTTTGAACACGGATAATATGAGCCTCCTAGGTTTAACTGTCGACTTTGGTCCTTTTGGCTTCGTGGACTCTTACGATGGTGGTTTTGTTTCCAACTGTTCTGATGGAGAAGGGAGATATGCATTGGCCAAACAACCTGACGTGAGCCGACTTATTAATGTGGTCTCCGTTATTTTTTTCAATCTATCCGTCCTTTAAATACTGTCTCCTATAACTTAGGTGGTGGTATGGAATATAGGACAGCTTGCTAACGCTTTGAAACCACTTCTGACTTCATCGCAACAAGTTCATATGTCGCATATCCTGAAAACCTTGGACACTTATTGCAAAAATAAAATACTGTTAGTATACATAAATTTTTCTTCACAAAAGCTACAAAACTATTTCTTATTAAGTAGGCATAAATCTTACAAAAAAGTCTGTGTTCATAGATGTATAAGTAACCATTATTAAAATTAGGGGTAGATCATACAATGACCAATGACCTGATATGCTTCGCCACCAGAGAAACATTCCTCATCAAGATAGGTTTGAAGGAAGAACAATGGGGTGACGAGCAGTTAGTGGAGAAGCTTTTGGATATGATGCAGCAGACAGGAGCTGACTTCACAGCCACTTTTAGGCAGCTTGCTGAGGTAAATAAAAAATACCTACTTAACTAGACTAAATAATTGTGCTACATAACATTTAGTTGAATTAAATATAGTTGGAACCAAGTGAAATGGTGAGCGAAATCAAGCTTGAAGAAAAATGGTCGCTGAAGCGTCTATCATCTCATGCTTCGTGGGGCTGCTGGCTGGATCAGTACCGTGAGAGACTTGTCAAGGAAGCTGGTAAGAACTGTTGCATTGTTATATCCACGCAAGTTAATACATACCTGTTTAATCATCTTTTTGCGTGGTATAGGTGTTTTGCCAGTAAATAGTCGTGATTGTGGAGTAGCTGCAGTTGATGCCAGCTCTTCAGGCTTGTTCGAAGACGAGAGGCGTCGTCGCATGTTGAGCGTTAATCCTGTGTACGTTCCAAGGAACTGGCTGCTCCATGAGGCTATTGTTGATGCTGAGCAAGACGATTATCGAAAGGTAAACCTTAAATCTTTGGAATCTAATTATTATTAGTTTATTGTGATGCCTAACATGTGGGTTTACATCTTTTCAGGTTCGCTATCTGCTGGAAGTTCTAAGAAATCCATTCGAAGTGCAGCCTGAAGCAGAAAAACGTGGATTTTCAGCACAACCACCGCAGTGGGCGTATGCTCTAAAGATTAGCTGCTCCAGTTAAATATTCATGTCTTAAATAAATATTTATTTTTTTTGGTACTAATTTTGTTTATGTTTTATCATCCTGGTTCCATCACGACCCTTTAATATGTGCACATCCAGAGTCTTGTATTTCTTGTTTCATGAAATTTTGGGCCTAAACGGCTCATTAAAGTATGACCAATATTTTATTTATCAGATACAGATCTGCAATAGAAATTAAAAAATAAAATGTCACGATGACACAGCAGTTGACATTGACAGCTGTTGCGAACTGCACGATAGCGTTGAAAAATCAACCTTATTGCGTAGGAACAAAGTGCAAACAATTATCGAGTTCGTCAGAAATCATCAAAACATTGCGAATAAAAACATTCATGTATGTCGTGAGGTCGGAGAAAATAATTACTAGATTAGTTTCGTCAGTAATGAAGCGATAAACATAATAAGCAACATATTATCTTAAAAATTGCTCAATGAAGCGAGCGTTCTGTGTGTTGGCGGCTCTTAGAACTGAACAGAAGCAAAGTGTACTTGGCAAGATGCTACCAATAACCAATTTCAAGGAATGGAAGTTCCGTAGCACCCCTAACTACGCCGCTTTACCAATAGATGAGAACCCTGAGTATAATGTGCCGATGGCAGTGAAAGATGCGGTGTTTTCTGAGGTAAAACTGTTGTATAATATTTTATCATTGTTGTGTGTATTGCTATTTGATATTATTATAAAGCTAAATGGTTTTTTGGTTTGTTTGAGCATGCTAATATTTGGTTGGAACTATTTGTTTGAATTTAAGATTTCTTTTTATGTTGAGGTCTTATGTTGTTTTTTTATTGAGGAAAGCCATTGGCTATAAAGTATCATGTTACAATCAATCGGAGTTGTGGCTGAATAAAACCTCACAGAAGCTATTTACTTAATTATACAACCTAAAACACTATCCATAGTTAGATTAAGTTGTAAAAGATCCAAATAGTCACTTAGTTTTTTATACAGGTCCCAACAGAGCCTCTAGTGGGGACATTACACCTGGTATGTGCATCAGATGATGCTCTCACAGACCTGTTGGACCTGCACCCCAGTGTAGCAGAGACTACAGAATTCATCAACTTTGTTGCTGGTGCTTATTTGCCTGAGGGAGGACTTACTGTTTCACATAGGTATTTTTATTAACATATTATGATTTTCTGTTATTCTACGATAATGAATGAGTATTATAAGGTCTAATAGCAATGATAAGAATGTTAGACAATGTAAAACTTTACTTTTTGATAGTGTCTTCATTGACATTCTTTATTATTTGTGTTTGTTAATGTATGGAAATGCAAGAAAATCTAGATACACACAGGTATTTGTGCATTTAAATGCCTATCAGATTCTTAAATGCCTAAAGATTGTACACCTCACACCCCCACAGGTATGTTACAGTGATACTTGTCTAAATGATTTCTTCTTCTTCTCTTATAATATCTTCTGATTCACTTCATTGCGGGAACATGAGCAGCGTACGCGGTTGTGACATTGTCAGCAATAATTGAATGTATGATAATTTGTTTTCAGGTATGGAGGTTACCAGTTTGGACATTGGGCGGACCAGCTGGGTGATGGTAGAGCTCACATACTTGGGGAATATGTGAACAGGTGTTTAATTTGAATGAATTAATTGCTAATCTGTGAATACATCTAGTCATTTTTATTTGTTTAATAACTAAGGTTAACTTTGTTCTATTATGAGAAGAAAATGTTTATTATTATGAATTTACTTTTTAGTTAGATTATCCTTAGAATAGAATAGAATAGATCATTTATTTGCTATGAATGTAGGTACAAATTATTAGGTGTTACAAAATTTTAAGGTTTCTTGTACATTCTACCTTAATTGGCATGCAAATATACATTTGAAAAGAATTTATCAAAACTTATCATCCAAGAACTCGTGTACTGAATAATAACATTTGTGCAAAAGTAATTCTGTAACATGCTTCTTAAATATAGTTAGTGATTGTTCCTTGATATTATTCGGCAACTTATTATAAACAAGTGGTGCCATACAAATAACACTTTTCCTTAAAAGAGTAGTTTTAAAAACACCCGTGCTTAAAAGATTTTTGTATTGAGATCTAATGCTTATTGTTCTATTTCGAGTTTCTTTCAAGGTGGTAAATACAAAAAAACTTAATACAGTACAGTATAATCTCAACTTTATGTTTTAGAAATAAAGTTGAAAGTCTTTTGCAGGGATATGTATATATACAGCCTTACCTTTATGTGAATTATTTACGAATAATTTGATTAACGCTTGATTCTTTTGATTTTCGTCCACAGCAAAGGTGAATCCTGGCAGCCACAACTGAAAGGTTCTGGTGAGACGCCATATTCCCGCTTTGGTGATGGTCGCGCAGTCCTACGGTCTTCTATCAGGGAGATGATCGCATCTGAAGCTTGCTACTACCTCGGCATACCGACCACTAGGGCCGCCGCTTTGGTAGGTAAGGTAGCTATTGTGTTTTTAACTAATTATTTGTTTAAAATAAGTAGACTTGATCCCATAGAAATAGTATTAGGAAGTTAGATAAGACTAAAAAGGCCAGTGAGGATGTACACACGGCTACACATCAAGCTTTACGCAACCAGTATAAACTGAACGTTAAATGTGCGGAAAGATGATGCGACACGACACCAGGATAAACTGGTTTTGTATAGATTGATATGTGGCCGTGTGTACATGGCCGGCGCCGGTAGCTTATCAGCAGGTGATCCATTTGCTCATTTGCCAACCAACTAATAATAATACCTAGTCTTTCTCAGTGCAATCTATAGAAATAAATAAATTTCCCTTCTTTAGTCTCACTGAAACTCGAGAACGGCGGAACCGATTTGGCTAGTTTTGGTCTTGAAATGTTCGTGGATGTGAGAGGGAAGGATCAAAAAATACCAGTCGGTACGAAGTTTACCGGTTTCTGCTAGTATTATTTTAAAATAGGATAGGATAGGATCAAATATACTTATTACTTATTGATCTTTCTTTCTTTGCATTCCAGTGAGTGACGATCACAAAGTTTGGCGCGACAAGACATACAGTGGTCGCGCGAAACAGGAGAGGGCCGCCATTGTGATGCGTCTCGCTAACGCTTGGTATCGCATCGGATCGCTAGAGATTTTACTCAAGCGAAAAGAACCACATACGCTCAAGTTGTTGACTGATTTTATCATTAAAGTGAGTTTTTTTTATTTTATTTGTGTGGGAAGAATAATTTGATTAGTAAACTGTATAGCGACGTCGTTTATGAGTCCTTGTCTCAGCTTGAAACTAGTCGAGCGTCTTCCTCGAATCAGTTGCGTTTAGCAAGTAGTATTATTTTCTTCTCCTCTTATAATATCTTCTGATTCACTTTGTTGCGGGAACCAAGACAGTTACTCATGTCCCTGGGACGCGCCGGACTTCAGTGTTCCGGTGTTCTACTGTAGATCCTGGCTTACAGGAGTTGCAGCGGTTTTGGGAGGTTGTGGCGGGCTTGTCCCATTAAAAAAAAGTATTATTATATACTATTATTTGAGTAACGCAGTAGCAAAAGCAATTGATTATAAGTACCTAAATAATATATTAAAATGTTTTGTGAATTTTAACTTCGGAAAATCAGAAGCTATCTTAAATTGTATGAGTATTTTCAGTGTACAATTATAATCCTTTTTCATTTGCAGCATCATTTCCCTGAAATTGAGAATGCTGAAGGTGACAAATATGTGAATTTTTATAAAGAAGTGGCTCATAGGAACCTTGATATGGTGGCGACTTGGCAAGGTATGTATATTTTAATACATTTTTACCTACCCTACAATAATCAGTTTTTAATTCAAGTCTTGCATCTAGAAATGTTAAAGGATATTTCGAAATCACAATGATAACATAAAGTCTAGCAATAAGTTTGTCCAATTTCTAATGAGTATCATAAAAAATGTTCATAAATATGACCACAGTTATTCCATTTCTATTTAATAATAAAAAAAAAAATTTTAGGCCTAGGCTTCACTCACGGCGTGTTGAACACAGATAATGTAAGCCTACTAGGTGTGACCATAGACTATGGTCCCTACGGGTTCATAGACCACTACTACCACCATTATGTGCCCAACACTTCCGATGACATGGGCCGGTATGCCTTCAATAAACAACCGGGGGTAAGATAATATACATGACACTATAATATATGATGAATATTTGGTTGGCAAACGTTTGGTCACGACTGCAATAGCTGCAATCGGACTGCACATTTGGTTTGCAGTTCTATTGTAGTCGTATTAACTGCATCTGAACTGCAATTTACTGTCTAATGGACTGCATAATTGACAGGGACTAAACAACAGCGTTTTCTGATAATTTCGAATTATTCGAGCTGTGATCTCTAAACCGCCTAAAGCATGGAGATTAGAGAAGCCTTCTTATTTAGGTTTGCTCTCTCTAGGTTCATATTCCAGCAGTGGACTGCTACGGGATGTTGATTGTTCTCTATTTTTTATTTTGACTACTTTGTTAGGAGTGGAAGGAGGGTAGGGACGCCTTTGCACTGCAGTGGGACGATCATGGCTGAAAAAAAAAAATGTTAGCCATTGAATATATGCATTTCTGTCTAACCTTTCTGTAACCAATGTTCTATGATTTCTATTTCGTAGGGCATAAGATCGATTTGTGTTGATCATTTTTTTTTCAGATTATTCTATGGAACTTGGAGAAATTGGCTGAAGCTATGGAACCAATTTTAACAGCTGAGCAGAAACAAGAAATAGATCGCGTAGAAGCTACTCTAGAAAACTATGTCAAAACAAAAGTATTGTAAGTTATTCTTATCATATTAATTCAATTAATATTTTGTCCTGAAACCTTCTTAATTATATAATGGAGTTTCTTGCTCGTTCTTCTTCATTCGAATCTACATTTTGGAATGAGCACCTAGTTTCACCTAGCTTCACTGACGGACTGACTGACAGACTATTATTTATTTTGTATTTGTTGACGTTTCAAAAGTACCAAATTATGATTTTATTAAAATAAATGCTTTGAGTTTTTTTATATTTGTGAGTTTGTATATTTGTTACACAATGACATCAAAGACTGAAGAGAAGAGAGAAGAAAATATAATAGAAGAAAAGAATGAACATTGGAACAGGGGTAGATTGTGGTAGGTATAGAATAACATATAGGCTACTATTATCCCTCGGGCAAAGCTATTCGGAGTCGCGGAGAACCTAATGGGTAACCGGGGCTCCGGCTCGACGTGCAGGAGAAGGAACGGGGTGGGTTTTGGTCAGTAAGAGTCTGACACTCCCTTCCGCCTCACCCAGGCGGGAGCAGTCATTCGATGATTTTCCACCATTAAAAAAAAACCCCCTGGGCAAACCTGCTAGCAGAAACTAGTTAAACAATATGTGCACTGTCTACTTTTATAGGTATTAAAGACATTCTTTATTATTTCAGGAAAACCTATCTACAGAAGTTAGGGCTTGAAGAAGTGAAAGATGGTGACCAGAAGTTAGTGGACGATCTACTTGAAGTGATGCAGCTGAAGATGGCGGACTTTACGGCTACCTTCAGACAACTAGCTGAGGTAAATAAACCGTGTGATTTATGGTGTGAAACGGCTGTTTGAAACAGTATAGATCAGTGGCGCATTAAATCTAGAGAGTCACCAACACAACTCTATCGGCACTTGTGCAGGCACGTCTCGCGGCGCCCCTCTGTAATCTGGCGCCTTAGGCACTTGCCCAGTTTGCCTTAGGGATAATACGATTCTGTTATGTTGTTCGAGTATGTCTGGTGTGTCGGTCGAGTTTATAATGTTAAAATTACCCTTAACCGACGAGCATGCATGAAAAGATTGATGACTGTTGATTAAGCGAAAGAGGTATGTAGGAGTCGTAGCAATTGGCGTTCCTAGATTTTGCCTACCCCCATGGGAGACAGGCGTATGTGTGTTTTTACATGCAATCAGATGTTTTAGTTGTTTGAAAGATTTATTCTTTAATTAATATCCGCTTTCAATCCAAAGTCTGTGTATTTTCGACATTAATTTTGAATTCACATCGGTTTTTATTTTAACTGACATGTTTTTTGCATGTTTGAAGATTAGTATAGTGTTGAAAATACTTACTTATTAATTTTCTATATTTTCTCCTAGGTGGAACCACAACAGTTGTCAGATAAGACAGTACTAGAGACCAAATGGTCTCTTAGCAAATTGATTGGAGTACCGGCTTGGGACAAGTGGGTGGAATCTTACCAAGATAGGCTGAAGAAAGAGAATGGTAAGAAATACTTAGCTATATTGTCATACTTATAGCTACATATATATTGCAAAACATATATCTATCTTTTTAAAAGAGTAATAGTTTCTTGCTCGTTCTTTTCCATTCGAATCTACATTTTGGAGCAAGCACCTAGCCTCACTGACGGACAAACTGACAGACTATTACTTATTTATTTTGTATTTGTTGACGTTTCAGAAGCACCAAATTATGGTTTAATTGAAATAAATGCTTTGACTGTTATCGTACTGAGTTTCTGCTCAAAAGATGGCGCTAATGTCGTAAGGCCCTATTGATTAACAAAACTCTTATGCTAGTAACGTAGACTTGGCTCAGGTTGACCGACTTGACTTATTAGCAAATATTTTAATGGGCAATAGACTTCAAGCTGCACTCGCTGCTCTATTGCCGATAAAAGTAGTCTAGTAATATTTGCGATGAAAAATAACATAGCTACATAATATTATTATAGTAGGTAGATCTTAGTTCACACATTATACACCTCTTCTTGCAGTATTGTCTCCATACATTTAATGTCATATTTTATACATTTTTGACTGCCACTGCTGAGTAGTCACAAGTGCGACTGGCAGGCAAGGGTTTCGGGTTCGATTCCCGGGTCGAGCAAAGTAAGACTAGGTCATCATCTTTATTCTCAGTAGTAGCACGGAGTCTATAATAAAGGCGAGGTGTTATGTTATGTATATTTATACATTTTTGTTTATTTTTCTTATTGCTAGTGAGTGAAGAAGAACGCAGGCGTCGAATGGTTGCAGTGAACCCTGTGTACATACCACGCAACTGGATCCTAGAAGAAGCGATCAAAGACGCAGAGAACAATGATTTTGAAAAGGTAACCTTATTGTTTGCTTTATTTTACCCCAAGATGGAAAATCCTTACTTATAGAAGACGAAGGGGACTGTAAGTAATCCTTAATGGCTTCTCACTGAGGAACGATGTGTCGACCTCCCTTTTGTTTAGAGTCTAACCGAATGGCAAGGAATTTTCTAAGTCCTCCACCCTTGCATCAATTTAGAGAGGTTCGAAGAGAGCAGTTTCTGCCCTCCTTCTTAGCCCCATACGTTTACGGCTGTGAGAAGATATTTTTAGCTACCTCAAAAGATCGAGATGTATCGCGCGATCATTTTCGTGGAACTGTAGTCCTGATTTTTCTTAAGTTTGTAAAATTATATTAAATTCAAAATTCAAAACGAAGCATAAATAAATTGTAAAAAACAAAACTATTTCATTCCAGGTACGCTTCTTAGTTAAACTGTTCAAGAATCCGTATGAAGTGAATGAAGAGGCTGAGAAGCGAGGCTACTCCGCTCAACCGCCGAGCTGGTCTTATGGACTCAAACTCAGCTGTTCTAGTTAAATGATATGCACATTATTGTTATTGAAACTGGCGGTTTAAGGTTTAGTTACGAAGGTAACGTTAACAATCACGTTTACGCCGTTCAGGCAAGTTTTGGTTATGTAGTTTGATATTTTCTCCGCTAGAGGCGCCTCAGTCGAATTAAGGTAGTAAGGTCTTCCATGAACTTTGGGGTGTTCTTATTTAATTCTCGTGCAATCAACACTGTATAAGTATGTAGTTTTTGCGGTATCAAATCAATAGTAATTTATTAGTATTTTTTGTTTTATACAAAAAGAGATAATTTTTTTTCAGTTGTAACTAAAATTGCTACCTGTATACAAACAAATCGATTCAAAGTAAAACTAGTTGTTATAGTTTTCAGTAGTATCTCATAGTGTAATTTAGGTGATCGTACAAACAGGTGTAGGTACTTGTGATTGAAACTGACAACTCTTGTGATACAAAGAATATCTTGAAAAGATTAGGATAAGGTCGAGTTTATAATGTTTCGTTATGTAGAAATAGAAATTAGATTATTATGTAAGTAGATAGCTTAATTAGAAAGCTGGAAACCACTCTAGCACTAAGACATTTTTGTTTATATTTTTTTCTAATATATTGTTGTTATTTATACTTTTTGTTTCATTTCCTCTGCTAAATAATTATCATGACAATGAAAAGACCTTTCAGTTTCACAAAAAAAAAATGTAAAACACGACAATAATACCAAAAATACTTTAATTAAAATAAATATAACTTTCCATAATATAGGCATTAAAAAGAAAAAAAAACCTATTTACAATCAACATAATTTCCTTCTGGTTTTGTAATGGCCAGCATTAATTAATTAATAAAATATTTATTCATAATCTTCATCAGCACTGTCATCAGGTTCTGAGTAATCTTCATCAATTTCAATTTTCCGTTTTTTTGGTTGTGGAATATTTTCTTTTTCTTCTTCTTTGACTTGAGGAGCTTCTGTCTGTGCAGATCTGTGGTGGAAAACGAATGATATTGTCTTTGCCACATCCCAGCACTGTTTTAAAACTAGATCTGCCAAGTTCTTCTTGTCTGCACAATGGTACCAGTTCGACAGATCAGAAGTACAGTCCGAATTTTCTGGTGGAAGTCTTACTTGTATGTTGTTTATGCATCTCTTGCATTTGAACTTGCTGTGGGTGTCAGATAAAGTGTTCTCCTCTAATCTAAACAGATCCTTTAAGTCGTCAGAAGTGAAATGCCTTAGAGATTCTTCATTTTGATCAACTACAGTGTCACTTAATGCTTTCTTATGTGCTTGCCTCTGGAATATCTTTTCTTCAATGGTCCCTGTGGCTAGTAACCTGTATATGTAGCATGGTTTCTTCTGCCCGTCTCTCCACACTCTGGCCATGGCCTGTTCATCATTAGCAGGGTTCCAGTCAGGGTCAAACATGATAAGTCTGTTAGCACCAATAAGGTTGAGACCACATCCACCAGCTTTGGAACTCAGCATAAATATCCACTCCTTATTTTCTTTATTGTTGAAGCTCTCGACAACTTTTGCTCTCTTCTTTATTGTCATTGATCCATCAAGCCTAACATACATGTAACCTCTCTTTCTACATAGTTTCTCAAATAAATCTAATGTTTGTGTGTAATTAGAAACAAGGACGATTTTATCATCTGTATTCATCTTTAGGTTAGCAAGAATACAGTCTAAAATCATTAGTTTTCCTGATAATTCTGGCCTGACATCTTTAGAATCATAATAACTTGGTAATAGGCTCATAGCTTTTTCAAAGCCTTCAGCTCCCTCTACAATTTTATCATACACTAAATCTGGGTGATTGCACAATTTTTTCAGGGTAGTTATACTAGATAGAGCACTGAGAGTATTCTTTTCAGCATGGCCACTGAACTTGTTGCGGATAGCATCGGAATTGATGAAGTTTTTATACAACTGTGTCTGAAGTGGAGTCATTTTGCAGCATATGACTTGTTCAAACTTTACCGGTAAGTATTTTGTAAGTAAACTGCTTGTCCTGCGGATCATACACTTGTTGACTATGGATGTTAATGTTGCAAGACACTCTTGTGCCCTCTCTCTTTCCGATTCACTTGCTAAGGCATCTTGACCCTTCAATATTGGATTTTCATATCTCTTCTTGAACTCATGTGCTGTGCCTAAAATACCTTCATTAACAAAATGTACTAAACTGAAGTATTCTGTCAAATCATTCTGTATTGGAGTGCCCGATATCAAAATTCTTTTCTTCGCTTTTAAACCCATCAATGCCTGATATGTTTGGTTCTCAGAGTTTTTCAGTCTGTGGCCTTCATCACAGAGGACTAATCCAACTTCAGATGAGTGGAGAATACTAGAGTAAATTCTAAATGTTTCATATGAAATGATGAGAACTGGGGTAGCTACTCGTGTTGCAGAGTATGTGTTCATATATTGTTGGAGTTTGAATGTAATTTCAGATTTAGAGCCTCCATCCATGGCTAGAGCATTGATTCTCTGTCCCAACCACTTGTGGATTTCATTGTACCAGTTCTTGACCAAACTACTTGGGCAAACAATGATTGCCTTACAGATTGTGGGTTTGCATTCAGGTCCTTGCCTCAGTAATGTCCACAATAAAGTGATACACTGCAAGGTTTTACCCAAACCCATCTCATCAGCCATAATACATCCATAAGCGTTCTCTATCTGGTGTCCAGTAACACAATCGTACATAAACTTCACACCTTCTCTCTGGTGAGGTCGTAAGACGTTCCCTAGCACTGGGTCTACCACCACAGCAACTCTTATGTCGTTAGGGTTCATCTTCATCTTCTCATGTTCGGGTATGTGTGGTGGCCGGTACAATACCAATGCATTAAGCTCGTCAGGGTCGTGTAAGGCTCGCCTAACCTGAGTCCTCTTCAGACCCAAACTTTTCCCACAAAACGATGACACATAGTTAGGTATGGGAACTTGAAAAGGCTTACTGAGTATCGCCTTAATTATATTCTCGTGGTCAGAAGCCGCCGCCGCTTGAGACACTGATTTCTGTGTTAATGGTATCTTCGTACACTCCCGCCGTTTATTTCGTTTCGATTCTAGCAGCGGGCTTTTGAAAACGGCGTTGCTGGAGCCGATCTGGCTAGGGGCTTGGCTGCGACGCATTTTAGTTTTATTCTTACACCACTAATACACTGAAGTTAAACAAAATACATGGTTGTCCTGTTTAAACTTGTTGCTTTTGTAATTGTTTTGAAAATGCGGAAGTTTTTTTTTTACATTTTTTGACACTGACGTTGACATTTAAAATCGGTGTTGTCAGATCTTCCAATGAGTGTTGCAATAATTAAAAAACTATTACTTTTAAAAAAGTAGTTCACTATTTGCGTGTAGGTCCCAAATAATTCACAGTAAAGGTTGCTTACAAATTATTATACCATAATACATGTACTTTGTTTGCACAAACGGCAGAACATAATGAGTATTATAATAATAAAATATTATCGTAATCAGCATGATCTCGTTCACAGCTTAACATAGGCCTCTCCAATGGCGGACCACTGAGCTCGATTTACAGCTCTACGCATCCAACCACTTTCAGCCACCTTATGAAGATCAAAAGTAGGTATTCATTTTGATAAACAGTTACTACGAGCAGCTAAAACCGATTTTAAAGTTGTAGGCACTCCAAAATCAGGAATCATCAATCAATCATTGACCGCCTGGGACAGTTCACTGCAGAGCAGATAAAAAATTGTGGGCCACTTGTAGTTAGGAGCTCAGCGAGGGCGCTTGACAAGCAAAACAACGGACTAGGTTACATACTAGGAAATATAATCAAAAACAAATAAACCAAGACAAAGGTTACAAAAATACTTATATTCAAAAGAAAACATGTAACAAAGACTTTCTCTTACTTTTTAAGTTACAATCGGTATCGATGTGGTACATTAGTACGTTACTAGCATGATTCATCACAGACAAATTTTAAACTTAAATATAGCATACTGGATTTGATTTGTGAGCCCAAAACAATTTGGGACATGCCCGTTACTTTTCAAATTAATAAAGAAAGTTGTTACAATTACAATCTTAGACACACAAAGCAACGCAATCCACGATGCGAACACTTAATTTTAATAACACAACATTAAATTAAATGTAAATTAAGTTAAAATTAAAATTTCAATTAAATTAATTCTTATATCAAATAAGTAGTGTAAATTCGAACATATTAATTGAAATATACATACAGGTACAGAGATGCACAAATCCGTACATAAATATTTGTGCGCCGAAAAAAATGTATAATATAATTTGGCAATAATTTTTAATATGTCATAAGGCATAATAGTATAATCACAATTATTTTTCAAATGTTTATATTAGTAAGTAGAAGTTAAATACGGAAGTAACGCATTCAGTGCCCATGACGCGTCTGTGCGTTTTGTGACACGACGCTATGTGTCCGGGACTCAAATATGCGTTCTATTCATTTGACCCTTTTTTTACCTGCTGCCCGTCGACGCGTCCTAGGGTCTATTGTTTCGAAACCCATATTTACACATATGTACTTCCTTATCTGATTTCTTTGATAAAGGTCATTACACACTTTGTACGAATTATAAAAAAAACTTATTCTACTATGTACTACCAATGCAATAATCAATAATTTTGTTCAGCCGTTTCGAAATATAAATATACTTAGAACAATTGAAAAAAGAAATATCTACGTAAGACTACGATCACCTTTGGTGGTATTTTTTTTTTCAATGTTATCTCGATCATCTCTTTTTTTTCCAAGAAACCTAAAATTTCACATAACACATACATACGCACAATAGAATCACATTAGTTTGCTGATAACGGCAATACAATGCACGGCGGTGCCTTAGAAGATTTTAAATACCACGAGAGCTAAAGCCAAAATCTACCTAGATACCTAATTGTTTTTCCAAGAAACCTAATATTTCATATGACTCTTATCTACATACGCACAATAGAATCACATTAGTTTGCTGATAACGGCAATACAATGCACGGCGGTGCCTTTGAAGATTTTAAATACCATATCCACCAGGCGCTATAGCCAACTATCGAAATGTTTTAGGATAAACCTATACGAGATAATAAGTACCTTACTAAATATCTATGGTGAAAGACTATAATTTATATATACTGGCATCGCGTCGTGACATACGTTTAAAAATCCAACATCAACCTCCTGTTTTTGAAGTTGGTTAATTAGTATACTAAACCCATCCCCTAAATGTAACAGAAGTTTTTCTGAAAACCGCATCAAAATCGGTTCAACCAATCGCGAGATAATCGCGTACAAACAAACATACAGGTCAAATTGAGAACCTCATTTTTTTTAAGTCGGTTAAAATACAACAATGTTCTAAATATAAACCTACTTATCAACTATAGAATTATTACGTTCATCCTTAGTTTATATTTAGATAAATTTTTCAATTTCACTACATAAAATAAATAATCTTATGGATTATAAATTCCATTACAGTGTGTCATGACCCTAACTTTTATCTACAGATACATAATATTCTATCGTATTTTCGTAAGTATATAACAAACGCACAGACGCGTCACGGGCACTCGCCGAGAGTCGAACGGACGCATATATGAGTTTCGGGCACACAGTGAGAGCCGTAAGAACGCGTATATGAGTTTCCGGCACACGAAAAGGGCAAACATTGAACGCAATAGTGCGTGCGGGGCACTGTAGTATGTCTTATAATTCGGGCACTGGAGAAAATCCACTGGGCAGTGAATGCGGTAATACATGTTTTTGGACAGATCCTTTGCAAAGGCGTAATCACGTGACTTGGCACCTTGGTTATTTAGCCAATCGAAATTTTTATAACACCTTGATCATACAGGTGTAAAGTGACGTCATTAGGCCTCGAGATATTTTGTAGCATCTTTCATTAGCCGATTCTACACCAGACAATTTTGGGTCGCCGATCGATTTGCGACCTCAGAACCTTGGATCGGTGATATTACAGTTCGCAATCCAAGATCTTAGATCGTTTGTTGATCCAGCTGCTGACTTGCTATTCTTTTGACCACTTAATGAGCTGACAGGGATTGGATCACTGAAGTAGCTTTTTTAAACTACCTCTGGTAACAAGCTTGTAGCCCGCCTAATGGTAAGGGTGCACAGTAACCTAAGTACTCTTGCATTACTAAAATCACCACAAATGCGGCTTGTTTTTTTACGGCTTGCATTGGATGAGACACACAGTGTCTTCTGCTACGGAATCGGAGTACAAAATTGTCTGCTGCAGACTTGGCTATTGTCATTATGGCATTGTTATTTTACATAAGTATTGTATTATATTACGTATTAATTACTTCTTGTTGCTACGTACAACCTTAATGTTAGTGGCTTCATAGACGCAGTCAGTTCGTGACGGATACACGTTCTTAAGGTTTCCTTCTGGATCTACTACCTTTACCTGGAAAAGAAAAAGGGGGGTTATAAATAAATATCATTGTTAGAAGACCGATCTTCACAGGAGAAAAGATGGAAGATGCATTGAGACTTAGAATTATTTTACGCAAAGTTCGAATGATCATCAACATACATAATACACAACTGATATGATTGACGGATGGAAATAAAAATGCGTTAGTTGAAAAGTAATTAGCGCAAAATTCAAGCAATGGCTGTGAGTTCGATTTTTTTTTCGAATACAAAAACTAACATAACATAACGCCTTTTATCCCCGAAGGGGTAGGCCACTGTACAATGTAACACCCACTTTTCACTATTTATGTTATGAGTCCCACGTAATAGGGAGTAATCCTATTGCCATAAACCGGGCACAATTCTAGACTCCGTGCTACCACTGAAAATTTTTAAAAACCCAGTCATACTTTGCCCGACCCGGGAATCGAACCCCAGACCCCTTGAGCGGCAATCGCACTTGCGACAACTCAGCCAACGAGGCAGTCTACTATATGAGATTTTTACTTTTTTTTAGTTTTCAAAAATTCTCAAATCAAAGGCCTTTTTATGTTTGTATACTGACCTGGGAAAAATGAAGTATTATTTAATGTGAACATCTCTATTTACCTCTAACGGGAAAAGAACGCGCGTTGTTAATAATATACTTACTTGCTGCACAATCAGGGTGTGGTAAATAGAGCCTGGTTCCAGTTCAGGTCCGATGCCCAATAACAGGCACTCCTGCAGCAGCTTGTTCATCACAGTCTTGCAGGCGCCGAGCGATGTGTGTGACGTCACTTCAACCAACATCGACTTGCTGTTTTGTGACATCTGGGAGGATTTATAGATTGTTAGAGATAGAAAAACATGAAATGTAAGGATAGGAACTTGTGTAATTAAAACTTTTTAAAATTGTCCCTGAGATATGGCTCATGGTATCAGTGTAACGAAGTTAACGAATTAGCAGAAAAAGAAAAGTTTCCTTATTCTTATATATTTCATACTCTTTTTATACATATAAAGCTGAAGTGTTTGTTGGTTTGAATGAGTTTAATCTGAAGCTACTGGTATTTAAAAAAAATATTAGTACCAAATCAAACAAAATAAAAACATTAATACAATTATATTTCATGTTTTATAATAGATTTTGAAAAGTGACATTACAAAGTTTTGGATCCCTCCCTCCCCCTTGTCACACAATATCACACTTCGTCACCCCCCCTACCTTAAGGGGTAGGGGCGTTAAGACGTGTGGCGTAATTTATGGCGAGACGAGCAGCGGGTGAAAACCGCGCGGAAGTATATATATATTTTTATTATATTTTTTCTATTAGTTATGTCACATACCTTAGTATCCTCAGAGTTGGTGATGGGTGGGAAACTGATGACCTTTCCACTGGCGTCTTCCAAGCATGGATATAGGGGCTTGCCTTCCAATAAGTACAGATATCTGTAAAGTATTGTGAATTAGAATAATATGAACAATTTAACTAATGAGACTTATAACTCAATATGAGTAAATTAATTGGAAATATACAATTTTTACAATCAATACTAAATAAATTAACATACTTGTGTATTCCAGAGTAAACATTCCTCTTCTTTTCCTTCCTGAGAGCCTCTGCTTCAGCTGTCAGCTGCTGGAACAGCTGCTCTCCAGAGTAGGGCTTCACCCTTGATAGTGGCGTCAGTTTCAGAGCTGATGGAGCCTTCGCTGTGTATACTAGGTCACCTGGTAACATTATAGGATGGATTTAAGAGGTATGCAAATCTATGGTGTGTTTATATTAAAAAAATCGTAAGAAATATATAATATAATATAAATATATATAAGAAACATATAATTGAGTCGAGTTCCTCATCAAACAGTTACATGAGTAGGGCGAAAACATAATAATTATTCTATGGTTGTGGTTGACTAATGATGAATTAAGTTATTACATACACATAAACATTCTATTGCATTATATCCACAAAGGATGTCTGCCAAAAAACACTATCATGGATAAGACCACCTTTGTGCTCATTTCCTTTTTTCTGTATGTTCTATATTATTAATAGCATACAATAAAGATTACTCTAAACTTCTAAGTTAGTGGTAATGTAACTGACACTTTGTAAGAAGTTATAATAAATTTGTTGGTTTTCAGCCATTAAGATTAATGGAAACTTGATCAGAAGTGGTGTGATATTTATAAGGTCTATAATACCATATACAGCAAAATGAGTGCTGGTTAATGATGGACCTATTTGTTTTATCTTTAGATGCAACATAACATACATCTTTCTGATATTTTTTATTTTTAAAAAACGTTGCCCCACACTAGGATTTTCTCCTGTGTCGTGGGTGCGTTTACAAACATACAAATTCACATACACATGACACCCAGACCCGGAACAACAATTTGTAGATCACACAAAGTGTTGTTCCGTGCGGGAATCGAACCCGCGACACATTGCACGGCAGCCGGTTGCCCACCCACCGCGCCAACCGTGCAGTCAGATTTGATATTCAAGTTATTTTTTATGATACAATATGTTTCTAAGAAAATGTTTGTTACGTAAGTAAACAAAATGCTAGCTTTATTAATACTATGTTAGGTGCCATCTATCATAATTAATTTATTAGAAAATAATGAACTTGTTTTGAAGCATTGATGGCAGTTGCATAAGGAAAAATACTGACATTTAGCCAAATCATAATCTAGTCAGGAATCAGTGCCAAATCATTTGGGAAAATGCCAAACACAATAACAACATTATTTTACCATTTCTTTGACTTCCCTAGCCTACATAAACACAGGAAAAATATTATATTATATCAAGTCCATCTACATACATTTTGAGAGCATAAAGAATACAATACAAAATATAAATGAATTAAATACCTGGAGCAATCTTTTCCAGATCGTGTGTGGCGATGGTGGCAATGTTCCTCTTATCACAGATGGTATCATGAAGCTTTGTCTGCATCTGAATAAACTTTTTAAACGATGTCTCGTCAAAGCTCAAGTCGTTCACGATGCAACAGAGAATAAAAGGTCGGACACCAGCAACTTGGGACTCGACGATTTTAACTCGTAAGATATCATCCTCTACATGGAGAATCTTCATTGAATGGCAAAGATCACATTCTTGATCTTCTGGAGCCGGTTCTTCTCTCTTTCCTTTCTTTCCCTTGCTTTTGCCTGTTGGCTGGGCCTGGTCGGTCTTGGGGCAATGGTCGCGGATGTAGTCCATAACTTGTTTGGTCCGGCACTGGTCGACTAATTTCATGAACCTTTTGTCAGTGAATTTGTTGCCCTTAAGGTTTATTTCTGAAATATTTTAATTAATTTTATTTTATTTTTAGAGCTATGTTGAGACTTGGGAGTGACTTATTAACTGGACAACTGATTGCACAATGAATAAAAGTTTTGATTATAATATTTAACACTAAAATGCAGTGAATTTACAGAAAAACCCGTTGTGCAATATTTCATAATTAATTGTAGATTTCATCAGATTGAAACAATGCAAGGAAGTTTAGATTAAATGTGTGATCTAATTTATTTATTTTCACCTTTTTTATAGCTGACCCAGTAAACTACTAATGTGTAAAAATACTTTTTTGTTGTATAATACATGTTTAATTTTTGTAAAGGATTACATAACATAACATAACATCACGCCTTTTATCCCAGAAGGGGTAGGCAGAGGTGCACATTATGCCACTGTACAATGTAACATCCACTTTTCACTATTTATGTTATGAGCCCCATGCAATAGGGGGTGAGCCTATTGCCATATACTGTGCACAATTCCAGACTCCGTGCTATTACTGAGGATTTTTGCCCGTCCGATTCAGTAATACTTTGCCCGTCCCGGGAATCGAACCCGAGACCCCTTGCCCAGCAGTCGCACTTGCGACCACTCGGCCAACGAGGCAGTCAATGTAAGGGATTAATAACAAAAAATTGGTGATGTATTGATGCTACCCGGAATTTCTTAGTTTTGTTATTTATTAAACTTGTATTAATATTTCAACATCATATTTATTGCATTCAGTATTACTATATTATAGTTCTAATTGTTACTTATGTGGTGAAATTATATTATGGATTGATAATGGTGTAATGTTATGAAACAATGAATTGTTACAGCTTGGAAGTTTTAATCAGGATTATAAATGAAACATGAGGTATAGTAATATCAAAGCACTAACCTTTCAATTTCCCCATGTTTGCAATTTCTCCAGGAACTGATTTCAGGCGATTATCACTGATGTCGAAGTTTTTCAACGAAGGTAAGCTACGAGTTATGCAGCTGGGCAGTACTTCTATAGCGTTACTTTTAATTTTGAAGTCAGTTAAATGAGGCATAACAGCGTTCTCCAAGTCCAAGAAACTAGTAAGTTTATTATTTGACATGTCAATTGTTAGCAAATTCGGAAAATCCGTGAATTTCGGCATCTCCTCAATCTCATTGGAACTCAGATTGATGTTAGTTAATTCTTTCATCTCATTTATAGTTCCAGGTATATTCTTGAGCAAGTTCCTTGATAGATCAAGTACTTTTAATTTCTTTAGTGAGGTTATGTTTTCATTGAAGTCTGTTATCTTGTTGCCGTATAACAACAAGGATTGCAGGTTCACCAATTGACTTATATCGTCTGGAATGGCTGTTAGACAAGTATCGCTAATATTTAAAAGATTAATATTAGTTAATTGAAATATTCCTTTGTCTAAACCACCTTCTGTTATACGTTTCGAAATAGCCGCACCCGCCAATTTGATTTCATGACGATTTTCCGACTTTGCAGTCGTTACTTCAGGCCACGCACTCATTTTGAAACAAAATTATAATCTGATGTAAAGTCTATGCAGAATAGTGAGAATCTAATAAGAATTTAATTAGAAAAACGCGCGCCACGACGGTTGCAAGCAAAATCAAACAGAAAACATGAAAAAAGAATGACGGGCGACGGCTGACATTTATTGTCACTTGTGGATGACATTTAATGAATGAATGAAAGAATGATCTTAACCCTCAAAAATAAACTGTGGGTACACATATGCGGGTGAACATAACTATAGTCAGAATTTTAATTAGATTCCAGATTTGACAATAGCTACTGTCATTTTGTGAAATAATGATACCACATATAATAGGGTAGTGATGTACACAAAAATCGATAAACAATCAGTGTGTGTGTTTTATAATAAATGTTACAGAAAATGTCAGGATAGCGATAGCGATGACGGCGACAATTTATAAAATAACTTATTACCATAATACATCTATCTGTTTTATTTGTCATGTTCCTTCATGATTACATTTTTTTATTTATTTCACACACAATTATAAAAGAAACGTCTCAGATCGTTAATTAATCGTCAAAAAATTAAATTATCGGTTTAGAAATATTTAATTTCCTGATAAACTTAGTTCACGAGAGTAAAATTATAATTATTATAAACGAGAAGAATCGATCCAGAAATATTTCATTTCCATATCGAATAATTTTGCAACGTCACTATTTAGTACTTGTCATAACGTTGCCACACTGAAATTGTCAAATCTGGAATCGAATTAAAATTCCGAGTATATGTAACAAATTATTAAATGTTATTTTACCGATTTTCAACAAAGAAATAATGAACTAATGCGACGAATCATTTAATAATATACAAATAAAACTGTACTAACTAAAGCTGTAAAAGTATTTATTTATCTGTAGCATAACCTTTTCTCAACTGGCTACTTTGAATTATCCCAGTTGCCACAGGTTTTTCAAAATTATGATTTTAAAAATTTGGCTCCTTTTCCTCAACCCGGTTGCCTGCCAATTTTAAGGTTATAATATAATTTACAAATATATCACATTCATACTCGGAACAACAATTACTGAACCAGAGAAACAATCGTTTAATGCAGGAATCGAGATTGTAATATGTAGCACATTAGGCAATCATTCAGCCTCTGCAGCTATCTAGTGCAACTATGTAATTACATAAAATTAATTATATTAGCATAATTTCACTCATGAAATAAGCATAGCTCAATAAGCTACCATTTTATTGAGAAGGGAAAATCATCCAATGTAAGAGAAGACATTGGATGATTTTTAGCCTTAGGTGAGCCGAGAGAGAGTGTCAGCCTGCTTCGAGCCGGAGTCCCGGGTAACCCGTTAGGCCGTCCGCGGCTCCAAAAAATAAGCTTACCCTAAAATGAAGGTTTCAAAGCCTCGAACACAGGCGTAGCCCACGCAAGGGTGCAAGCTTTTCGGTTTTCTACCTACCGTATTTCAGTGAGAGTGCGGGGGAATTGTACAACTTAATTCCCCCATCATCGTTCCACAAGACAATCGGCGAAACGTCACCGATTCATGGTAGATGTCCCACCCACGCGCAATAAGCGCTTCGCATCAAGCATCCTTGTGTGTACTGCTAAGGTGTGGAATTCTTTGCCAGAGTCTGTGTTTCCTGAAGGGTATATAACCTGGGTGTCTTCAAGGCCCGAGTGAATAGGTTAATTATGAGACGACGTGCTCGACGTAGACCGCATCATCGCTTACCACCAGGCGAGATAGTGGTCAAACGTAGGCCAAATATTAAAAAAAAATTAGATTGCAATTTGCAAAATAGATTGACGTCATTCAAAAAGTAACAAATAAGCTGGATTTTGATAATTTTAATTAAATTAGCGACATAAATCATGTCCATGCGAGATTACAGCTGTTATCAGTAGATACAGTTCCTAATTATTGATTAATTGACTTCAATTACTTAGATTGAGTATAGTCATGTGGGGCGCGGTTGTGATTTTAGCTGTGGTTGCTGCGGTAATTATTATTCTTACATAATTTTTCATATTCTGCAATTCCTCCATACAAATCTCCACAATCCATTTTTAGTATTTCCTTAATCTTCAAATCCCTTACTCCCAAATGGCCGGAAATGCACTAGCACTAGCTTCTCCGGTTTCGCGGGTTGTCCACTGCTTGCTATCAGGTGATCCATAATAATAATAGTAATTTCCAGAGAGGTGTAATTGTTGCTCATTCTCAACTCCTTCTGTTCGTTTTTAATTGGTTAAAGTGACCAATGATGATGGAGGAAGGAAGGTCTTCCTGAATGTTGTCATGAGATCAGAGATCCAGTTGTTCTGATAGTACCTATTAGTTGTAAAAGATATTTTATTAATATCAAGAACTTAGAAAGTTAATTTATACTTCCGTATCTCTAATTTTATTATTTATACTTTCAAAATCTAATTTCCGCATTTCAATATTTTTTTTTCGTTATGGTTTTGAAATACGGTAATGTCCACATGATCTATTTGGTCAAATAACCGGTATTTACGATCTAAGACTAAATCAAACATTTGTAATTTAATTCTTATGGGTTTCAGGCATCCGCCGAGAGTGTGCTGCAGGCATCTCCTGAGGTGGCACAACTTGGTAACTTAATTTAGCATTATTTAATTACTATCTATTAACCATTGTTTTACTCATCAAATAAAAATACTCATAACAATCAATTTTATATCAATTGACAAAAGACAACTAAACGAGTAAAGGTTAAACATTAATTTTAATAGCCTACTAATCAGTAGACCTTAGACGACATCAGCGCCTCTAACGAAGCCAAAATGAACTTTATTTATAGATTCCCGTATAGTATCAGGATGGGACGCCCAAGAGGGTCAGTTCCCGTACATGCTGTGGTTGCGTACCGTAAGGTGGACTGGTGACATCACAGCTTGCGGGGGCTCCATCATCCATCGAAGCTGGGGTGTCACTTCTGCTAGATGTACTGCTCAGTGAGTATCAAGTTTTAAAAAAATTGTAAGATAATTGAATGAAAGAAAAGAAAGGATACCCATTTACTGCGTTATGAAATTAATTGTTAGTGGTTTTACATGCATTACCGCGAGGTTTTGCCCGCTGTTCGTCTCCTATCATGACGTTTTATAGCTTTCATCGATAATTCTTATTCTATCTCGGTACTCCATACATCTGTTCCACATACCTAACATACCTAAAAATTCCCATCTAAAAAATTACGAGATATGATCAACTGATAAGATCGAAGCAAAATGAGACCCCCATGTCAGAAACCTAAATTAATATTCCATGTATTTTAATTCAGACGTATCGAAATTACGATCCACGCGGGAAGCGTGTACCGCAGCCGACCACGCGTGGTCGTCCAGGCTAGAGACACGTTCAGGCCACCAGGTTATGAAGACGCTCTGCAGCCCATCACACAGCCTAACGACATCAGTCTCATGAGGTTCAGCGCTGACCTTACTTTTAACGGTAGGTCATTTCATTTCAGTTGATTTATTTAATTAATTGTAATTTAAATTTATTTATTAGCACACACAGACATGGAAGCAAGCAGTGTTCACATAAACGCTAACGCGACCGAGGTAACCGTGGATCCCAAACTACTTGGTGGCCCAATATCAAAAGTTTAGGTTAAGAAGTTCTCACATCATGGTTGTGACACTCTAAATAAAATCACATAGCTGGATGCTGGATGGTATTCTCAATCACAGGATGCTGTAGAGAAGTGTTAACGTCATCGCACAGCTCCGGTACGGCACCGACCAAGCAATTAACTTGTCATTTGAATATGAACTTTATATTGTATGTTGTATGACATATTTTATAACGTCAATATAAGAAAGTAACAAACCAACAATACACAAAGGTTTTCGGAGTCGCGGAGAACCTAATGGATAACCGGGGCTCCGGCTCGACGTGCAGGAGAAGGAACGGGGTGGTTTTTAGTCAGTCAGAGTCTGACACTCCCTCCCGCCTCACCCAGGTGGAAGCAGACATTCGATGATTTACCCCCTTAAAAAAAAACACAACGGTTTACAACCTTTTTGTATTGTTTCCAAACCTAAGAACGCCGTGCCGGAGCCGTGATGGAGGCGTGCTTCTTAAGTCTGTGATGACTTTTACAGTTACAGTTTACCTACATGAGTTAGTGGGAGGAAAACATTCGACTGTTGTCTCATCTCAAGGTTAAAGTAAAACATTGGTCCCATAATAGGTTCCCAAGAAATATCAGACGTATGTACATAAAACATAGAAAAAAAAATAGAAAAATAGAATACAGAACAAAGTATCGATACAACGATTAAATATATTGTACTGTAAAAAGTAGATTAATCGCTTTGAAACTGCATAAATAAATTTTATGCTACATACGGGCAAACTTATTAGTTACTTTGTTATTTTGCTAAATTTTATTGCGTGATAAAAAATCGTAGTGCGCGCTTAGACTTCGGTGTCAAAGTTTTAGATTGTGTGTAAATTATTGTTTTCGAATTACGAATAGTCGTTTCTTAATAACTTTCAGAGCACATCCAACCAATCAGGCTGCAGCGTTCAGAAGACATGGATCGCGATTACACCGGGGTGCGGATGACCACCAGCGGTTGGGGGACCCAGTGGACGTGCCTTGAACTTGGATGTAAGTGGTTGCAAAATTATGTACTCTTCGTTCTTTCATTTGGTTGGTGTATTTCAACTGTTACATTTTCCAAAATCTGTTTTTTAAATCATTGTTTAATTGTTGGTATTACTACATTGTTGTCACATAATTGAACTCAACGAAAGAATATAACCAAAAATTGTATTGTGAACACAACAATCTACACTTTGGAAAGAACAAATAGCTTCACTAGAGGACTGGCTTACAGACTGACATAATATTTTCTTATTAGGTATTTAATATTTAAATAATTTGTTTTGACGTTTAAAAGTTAAAAAAAATTGTTTTGAAATAAATGATTTTGACTTTGACTTTGCTGTTTCGTATATAAGAATGCAGTTGCAGTTAAGAATTTCCTTTATTCTTCATAAATTTAAAGCATAACGTTCTTAAACTAAAACTAACTCTCAAAAATATAAAATTTCAACTTTTGACGGTTACAAAATGACCCATTTTTATTTATACGTCCTCCAATTTTCTTTTAAGGTTATACTCCTGACAGACTGCAGTGGGTGCACCTGAACGGAATATCCAACTTCATGTGCCTGTTGATGCATAACTCCAACTACCTGGTCAGGCCTACCACCATCTGCGCTGGACCCTTCAACGTCACCAGCCAGTCTATATGCTCTGTAAGACATAAATCATATAATTCCATTGAAAAATAAGTAATGTAAGATATGGGTATCATGGGTATAAGGAGACGTTAATTCCTTAAACTACGTAGGAGAGCCATGCTTCGGCACAAATGGACCAGCTCGAGCGGAGTGATACCGCGGCTTCACAGACCGACGTGAAACAACCGAAGTGTTGTGTTTTGTCATGAGAGTGAGGTTGCCGTAGGTCCAGTCCAGGCGGCAACGTACATGTCGCTGGTGGACGGCAAATATTGCTTACCATCAGGTGATCCGTCTGCTCGTTTGACGGCCTATCCACTAAAATTAACTAGACGTAGACTAAAGCGGACAAAACCCTGAACCTTTGAAATGGTAATCTTCAAAGTCTGACTCATATAGGAAGTCTAGCAGTGGACTGTATCAGGCAACTGCCTATTCAAGGTGAAATTGAAAATGACTAAGCTATGGATCTTCTAAAGACAGTTGTTGTTGTTCCAGGGTGACAGTGGAGTTCCTCTGACTGTGGTGGAAGATGATGGAGTGGCGACACAAGTGGGAGTCGGTTCCTTCGTCTCTGGCTTCGGGTGCCATGTTGGCATGCCTGGTGGTGAGTAGAATATTCTTTTTTTATCAAGGTTACAATATCAACACCTTTTTTATATTAGGTTAAGGAAATATAATTCGATTATTTATTTAAATAAGTTTATAGATGTTTTATGATCCATGTTTAGCTTCAGCCTCGTTCCTAGTATTCGTGGTATTAGGTTACCGGGACTCCGGCTCGAAGTGCAGGAGTAGGAATGGGGTGGTTTTTAGTCAGTAAGAGTCTGACACTCCCTCGCGCCTCACCCAAGCGGGAGAATTTATTCGATGATTTTCCGCCCTTTAAAAACGCCCATTACGCTGTGGCTACGAATACTAGCAACGATTATTCTATGATTTCATTGTTTTTGATCACAAGCCTACTCAGCCTGCTGCAAGGTGCATCTTTAGGATTAAAAATTATAGCAAACTAGCAAACCCGGCGAACTCCGTTTCGCCACCAGATGGCTATTCCTGAATTTTCTTGCTATAAACCTCACGGAGCCAGAGACCTTTCCAACGAATGCCAAACCGTGGAAATCGATTCGTGCGTTCTGGAGTTATAGGAAGGAAAACCCGACTTATTTTTATATAGTACATTATCTTTTCTTGATCCATTATCAGCTGTCTTTTGTCTTAAATATTAGTCGACATAACATGATAATTTCCTCTACCATCCATGAACACTAGTGAAGAGTTTTAGTCATACTTTCATTCTTTATCAAGTTATCTTTGACTCTTTACATTATTAACTCGTGTTTGTGCCCAGGTTTCACTCGGCCCGGCCACTACCAGGATTGGATCCGACAAGTGACTGGCATCAACTTTGACCAGCGCATCGTACCAACTGAGGACGCTGTAGACCCTTCAGAAAATTTAAAGGAAAACGATTTTAAGCCGCAAGGAGAAGAATATAGAGCTTAGTTTTCTTCTAAAAGATAAATAAATAAGGTTTAAGGTAGAAGTTTTGGGAAATATCGCTACTGATATTCGCTTCGTTCAATTCCGTTTTGTCCTGGTTGTTTTGTAAATAGTAGTTTTCTGAGTTGTTTAAAATCTAGTCACTTTCTATTGTAGTTCAGAAAAAAGAAGTTAAAAAGCTTTAACATACTAATTTTCATTATATTCGTCTCTGGATAATAAGGTTTGTTAAATTTCTATGGGCATTTTTAAGTATCATAATTCTATAAACAAATAAATCCAATCTACATAAGCTTGTTGTTGTTTTTTTAGTTACATATTTAGTTACCATCACTGTGGATTCGATACAGTTTCTGTGAAAGATAAATGCGTGCGGGCAAAAGTAAGTACAATATAAGATACATACATATACCTAAATACTTTCTCACGTAGCTTTCCGCCTCGCATAGCAAAACTGTGGAATGATCTGTCGTCGGCCATATTTCCGAACCGATACGACCTTCAAACCTTCAAGAAGAAAGCGTATTCCTTTTTAAAAGGCCGGCAACGCACATGTCCGGTGTTGCGGATGTCCATGGGCGGCGCCGATCGCTTACCATCAGGTGATCCGTCTGCTCGTTTGCTTCATATTCCATAAAAAAACGATATCATAAAATATGAGCTTAGTAAGTATAATTGGGTAAGTACTTTCCAACAAGGCAAAAATATTCATTTTTCCAACAGTCAAAAACTGTTGTACGAGATTGTATATTGTGATGTTCACGTCGAAATAATTTATTTTTGATTAAGGAAAGTACATTTACATCGACTATTAAGATTAGGTTTGATCATTATTCGAACATCGAATCAAGCTTATAAATGGCTTCACTAGAGGACTGACAACAGAAATTTTTAACATATCAATTATATATTTTGACTTTTTAATCTAATTGAAATAAATGATTTTGACTTTAAATATAGAACTGCGATCTGTTCGAAAGTTAAGTTATGAAAAGTTCCATTGGCAAAATATAGTAGATTACCTCAATTATTGTTATCCTTAATTGACGTCGCGGATAAGGTAATCCTTATCCGCGACGTAACTGAAATAGCTTATCGGATGAATGTATCTTTTAATGCCTCGTTATCTATTTAATGTATTATTATGTTCGTTCACATAATATGTCATAGAAAACAAAATATCAGCATCTAAATGGATGAATTTGAGGTTTTTGGACAAGAATACCTTTTTCCCTATTTTTTTAAGGGGGTAAAATCTTCGAATGACTTCTCCCGCCTATAGTTCCTATTCCTGCAGGAATTCCGGCTCGAAATGCATGCACATCGAGCCGGAGCCCCGGTAACCCGTTAAGTTCTTCGCAGCTCTGTACCGGTATCAGCCTTATTGGACCTCATCTGTGGTGGTCTGATGACTCTTTGAGGCGCGCGGGAAACGCGACGCACCGCACACTCAGGTCTGGTTCTGGTCGGGCGGTGAGCTACCCATGCTCGTCGTCCGCAGGCCCGTGCTTATTGTGACCGGAGATCGTCCTGCGATCCCCGACTATCCTTCGCGACGGCTGGGTTGTGGGAGGCAGCGCTTCGCTGCCTCATGCGCCCCACCTCCTCCTTAGCTATCATTATATAACATCACACAACACACAACTTTTATCCCCGAAGGGGTAGGCAGAGGTGCACATTTCGGCACTTAATGCCACTGTACAATGTAACACCCACTTTTCACTATTTATGTTATGAGTCCCAAGTAATAGGGGGTGAGCCTATTGCCGTATACTGCGGGCATTTTAGACACCGTGCTACTACTGAGATTTTTTTTTAAAAACTCAGTGATATTTTAGGTATTATATATTATTATAGTTCTATTTTTATCTTTAAAGGAGTCCAAAGCATAGTACGCGCCTTTATGCCGACATGCAGCATTTCTGTTCAAGGAAGCCGTCGATGACGTCACAGCGATTATTTATTTACGAACATATTATCGTACTGTCATAAGCAGATAATTGTCATCGTAATAATACAGAAGATTAATTAACTTACCTACGTTATCCTTATACTTACATATAATAATTAACACCGGCTGTTTGTTTAGCTCAAAATTTGTCGTAACTACCCCGTTAGTCATAGGTTGCTTGATAAAGTCGTAGAAGATCTACAAGTTCGTTAGAGTCAGATTGTCGGAGGCCCTCCATTCCCTAATCTGCCCAATATTCATAATTTTCATTCTTAAAAGACCGGTAACGCCTGTGGAGTTTCGGGTGTCCATGGGTGGCGACAATGGGGTCTACCGTATTTTTGCTCATTAAATGGCGCTAGTGTGACCTCTCGTTCTTTTTCGAATAGGAAATTAGCTAGTATCACACCATTGGACGTTCACTGTTTGACAGCTGCAGTGATTGGACAAATAGAACGCCTTCCTACATTAACTACTACTGCTATCAGGTGATCCGTCTGCTCGCTTGGCGACCACAAAAAAGTTTGTATTAGGGCCAAGTTTTCAATGCTCAGATAAATTTTAAACGCGGAATAACTTTAAATACGTTCACTAACCCAAGTGTTTTGTCCTTTCAGCTACTAACAACTAAAAACTACCACAAAGTTAATTTAGACGGTTCATTAAAATACCGTCACCACTGGACACTGGCAGTATAGTCGACAAGATCATTTTGGAGACTCGTTTGCCAAAGAGGAAAAAAAAACTTTAAATATTTGTCAATTTTCCATACTAACAACTGCCAACTGTCAATTTTATTCTACAGTTAAGAATCGAATTAACTGATGATTAAAAAATCGCCCTTAAAGGATCCAACCCGAGATGGTATTGTACGATTACTTTTTGAAAGATCTTTCTGTTTCACTAAAGGGTATTTCTGACTTTATTTAAAACGTAATTATCAATCAGAATTCTCAATTTGGTTAATGAAAAATAACAAGTGAAAAAGCATGATCAAGGAAAATATACATAAAATGTAGTCTTTTCATATTTCGATAAGAAGTAAAGAGTTCGACCTAAATTATAATACAAGCTTTTAATCGCAGTATCGAGTGTTCATAGCACAATCAATAAATTGGATTATAACAACATCCGCTGGAGATATCTTCCATAAAATTAATTAATAGATTGTTAGACAAACAATATTTGGTACAATATTTTTTTTGGAATAAAGTTTAAGAAGTTAGAAATCTAGTCGCTTTATCCATTACCTAAATAAGTTCTAATGCGACGAGTGTTGCGTATGCTACTCATAATTAAGGAACCCAGTCGCGGCTTAAAATATTTGACATAAGTAAGAAGGCATACCACTTAATTAAATTAATAATTCGGTATGTCTCGGTACAGTATTAACGGAACAATCAATTAAGTTTGTCATTTGGACAATCAGTAGGTACCTAATATCGTTAAGTCAGTTTTTTTTGCGCCTAACTTCACTGACAAGTAGACGGACGGACCATTAAATTTTTGTCGTTTCAAAAGTGCCTAATGAAATAAATGCTATGACGTTGACTTTTAACGCTTACAGGAGCCGGTTTTCTTTCAGAAGTCTCTGTATTTATAAGTTTTTCCACGGAATTCCTTCTTTGGACACTTCTTCCGTACAAGACAGCTGTGGAATTCGGCCAAGTATCATCTTACTAAGTCTAAGCCATGATACTTTCCTATAATATAACAGATTATATTTACAATGTACCTAACTTAAAGCTGAATTTTGTCGATAAGGGATCCGTAAAAGTATCGCTAAGACCCTCAAGTCTCTTGAAGATGGTCCTCAAACATAATACCACTTCGGAGCTTCCGTAAAACGATTGAAATTGTGGCATTTTTTTTGTTAGCAAAAAATTTGGACGTCGCGTCGGCGTCGCTTATGCCAGAATACTGAGACGTTACTCAATTTTAAGTTGTGCTTAAATATCGTGCCATCTCTGTCATTTTGCAAATAATTTATAGTAACAGAACTATACTTAAGCGCGACTCAAAATTGAGTAACGTTTCAGTATTCGGGCATTAGTCTTTATCTTTGTCGTATTAAAATATAATTACTACACATAAGGAAAACTGTAGCGTTTTACGTAAAAGAAAGTAGGATTTTCCTATTGTAGTTTTATTAGTAATTACTCAATTACCTAAATGTCATCATTATGATTAACATCACTCATCAGTGTATCAGGCACAAAACAAATAGAGGTGACCTTATAACCAGCTCCATAGCTCGGATTTCAGATGGGTCAGTTGAAAACGAACTATACACGTATCTAGATAAGTTTCTAGATAGGTTCCGGCTGGAAGAGCAGAAGTAGGAACGGGGTTGTTTTTAATCAAACTTATTCCCCCTAGTCCATTTCACCACCGTACCACCAGACGAACGGCGGGGCGTCACCCTTATATGGTGGACATTCCACCCATTCGCACGAAGCGTTTCGCGTCGAGCTTCCTCATGCGAACCGCTAAGGAATGGAATTCCTTACCAGAGTCAGTGTTTCCCGTCAAATATAACTTGGGTGTCTTCAAGTCCCGAGTGAACAGGTTGCTCATAGGTAGGCGTGCTCCATCGTCGACGACATCATCGCTTACCATCAGGCGAGATGGTGGTAAAACGTCGACCTATAAAGTATAAAAAAAAGTTAGGAGTCTAAGTCTCGCCTAACCCAAGCCGGGAGAAGTCATTACCCCTCAAAAACATTGATAAGTTAAGTATAGTAATAGTACATTGTTTCAGAACTCCTTTGATTGAAATTATGAAATCCTTGCCTATATGACTTTTAACAGTGGTCTTATGCCTGTCGCGGAGAACCTAACGGGTAACCGGGGCTCCGGTTCGACGTGCAGGAGAAGGAACGGGGTGGTTTTTAGTCAGTAAGAGTCTGACACTCCCTCCCGCCTCACCCAGGCGGGAGCAGTAATTCGATGATTTTCCCCTCTTAAAAAAAGTGTGTCTATTAAAACCTATACATTAGGCTTTTCTATTAACAAATAAGCATGATAATCTGGGTAAATCCTCATATATCAGTTACGAAAATACGGCGAAGGATTACGAAGATTAAAATTAATACGTTATCATTTAATCGTAGAATTTATCAATTAATTCCCGGCCCTGAATTAATATAAGCTAAGCAATAAACTAATTTTGTTTAGTTGTTTCAATTAAAGATGGCGGTGTGGGGTGCTCTGTTTTTGTTAGCTGTAGCTGGGACCACGGTAAATAATTATTGAACTGTTTTTTTTTTTGTATATTGTGTGGACTGTGCATCTAATTAATTATTTTCAAGTATTGTGATATAGATAACAGTGTCATTGTTAAGGAAGATTCTATGTAAAACAGGGTTGTCTTCGAAAAACTATCGTTTTGATAAGACTTGGTGACGTCAATATCTTGTGGTGTATGTATAGGTAGTTAGTAAGAACGCAGGAATGAAGAGTCGGATTCGGTACCTGTACATACTTTATAACAAACCCTTATATATTTATTTAATTAAAAACACTTAAGACCAATTTTTCAATCATCAATTATCTTAACAGTAGAATAAAATTGATATTTGACAGGGTATGAAAATTAAAAATATAATTAGTCCGTAAGTTAGGTAATGAAAAAATATTAGACACGTATTTTTTTATTTTGTCGTATAATAAAACAATACTTAGATAAAACGAATCAAAGTTTAGGAGTGGGCGTTAAAACGTCATTTCTTAGTATAAAATGTACTGAGAAGTGACGTCACGCGACATTTCAAATCAATATATCTTCGAAACTATTCGTTTCTGTGAGAAAATAAAAAATACGTGTCTAATGTTTTTAAATAATCTATCAGACGGATATTAAAATAAAAATTAGTCGTCTACCCTCGGAATTATCGGAAAATCGTTGGAAAAATCGGCCCTTATTGACGTAAAATACTGATATATTTTGCCCGTCACCACTTGAGACTGGCAGTTTAGTCGACAAGATCGTTTTGGAGACTCGTTTGCCAAAGAAGTGAAAAATAAAAAATATGTTGTAACCAACCAACCATTATTGTTGGTTCCTAATAGATAGTCAACTATAGTAGTTAAGAAGGTTCTATATTTGTGTGAATCAATCTTTATCTTGTCCCACTGTATACCAAATAACTTATACTGTTTGTATGTTGAAGGAGATATCTTTTTTTAAATTTTGTTTACTAAGTTCTGTTCAAATATTGCAAGAACAAAATTTTTTCAATGGATACACGCCCGAACTCTGAAAGACAACTCAATTTTAAGTGTCATTTTACAAAGAAGTTATAGTGATAGAACTAGGTATACTAAGCGCGACCTAAAATTTAGTGGCGTTTGAGTATTTCAGTAGGTAAACAACACGATGTTAAAGATCCAGAAAATTGTGGAACCGAAATAAATAGGATATTTAAATCCTACGCTGCGTTAGATAAAATGTCAGAAGAGACAGATAACAATACCCTATTTTAATCACAAAACAAAGGCGGATTAGGAACATTAGAAGTTGATACTTAATTAGTAGATAAGGATTAAAAAGTAGATAATTAGATTGTTTGTAATTTGTCTTTGAATACAAGCGATGATGATGAGAATAATAGGGATGATGACAGGGTATGAAAATTAAAAATGTAATTAGTCCGTCAGTTAGGTAATGCAAAAATATTAGACACGTATTTTTGTATTTTGCTCTATAATAAAATAATACTTAGATATTACGAATCAAAGTTTAGGAGTAGGGGCTAAAACGTCATTTCTACGTATAAAATATACCTACGTAGAAGTGACGTCACGCGACATTTCAAATCAATGTATTATTATCTTCGAAACTATTCGTTTCCGTTAAAAATTAAAAATACGTGTCTAATGTTTTTAAACAATCTACCAGACGGACATGAAAATAAAAATTAGCCATCTACCCTATTTATTTGCGATTTCAGGTGTACGCCGATCCCAGTGAGCTCGCTTTCCCTGAAGAGGCAAGAGGTGAGATTCATTTAACATTTATCATTGATTCCATTGAAATAGCATTATTATTAGATGCTCCTTCAGGGACACTTTATAAACATGGTGCCAATGAATGATGTAATCTAATTTATAAGGTTACTGACTGGAAGTCGCGGAGAACCTTACGGGTTACCGGGACTCTGGCTCGAAGTGCAGGAGAAGAAACGGGGTGGTTTTTAGTCAGTAAGAGTCTGATACTTCCACCCGCCTCACCCTCACCAGTCGTTCGATGATTTTCCATTTAAAAAAAAGGTTACTGACTTATTTGAATTGATAATTAAATTCGTTTGTAATGGCAGGTTAACTGATATGTATCTACTAAACTGACTCCTATTCCTAAAGTTGTAAGGAACTAAAATTCTACAAGGTGGTCAATTATCCTAATAAAGGTCGGTTAATTGTCGTAATAAGAAGCATCCAGTACGATATAGGTTGCTTTAATTCAGTAATCTTGGAGGGGTGCTTATGTGCAGTAGAATTGTAGTTGATAGCGACGACGATTATGACGAGTATATGTGTACAAATGGATGCAAAATTCTCGTTACTAAGAATTGTGTGGAAATCATACCTATTATAATATATGAAATGCAATTGGATAGGCTGTTTAGCGACCATGTTTAAGTTCATGAAATCGCAGCAACAGTCTCTTATTCTATTTTTATTACAGGTGGAGCTCGTATCGTATCAGGATGGGAGGCACAAGAGGGTCAGTTCCCTCATCAGCTCAACATCCGTAATGTGAACCCAGCTGGAGGAGTGACATCATGCGGTGCCACCATCATCCACTCTGAGTGGGCTCTTACTGCCGCTCACTGCACAGCTACGTATGTATCCTTCTTACAGTCATACTTTTTTATTTTACCTTTGATAGATAAATACCAAACTATTTCATAGTTCCCGTAAATCAGGATCGATTGAGATGAATCATGTCCTTCTGTATCCAAAATGGTTTCCATAGTCAGTGCTGTTCATTTGCAGGTGATCTGCTTGCTTTTACGATATATTATAGTAACCTCTCTTATCTAAGCTAGGAGTTACTTAGGGTGGACTAACCCCTTAGATGTACTGTTATGACTTATTTAATGGTTGGTGAAAACCAGAATGTCTTTAAGTGTTACCTATCTTAGCTAAAATCGTCCAAAGGAACCTTTCCTTAAAGAGATAGTAAGACGGGCATTAGACTAGACCCACAACGAAACGAAAAGAAAGAAGATAATAATAATTATTAGAATTACTATCTGACTTCGTGTTGCCTCAAAATTATTATCTGACTTTTTAAACCTTGCCTGGACTTCCACGAACATTTCAAGACCATAATTAGCGAAATCGGTTTAGCCGTTCTCGAGTTTTAGCGAGACAAACGAACGGAAATTAATTTTGATTTACATAGATAGATTGGAAGAGAAGAAACGGTTTCTTCTTTTCTTGCCTTTTTTGATCCTTGATCTAAGTCTGTCATTAAGTATTTTGTTTCGTACCACTTCAGACCACCAACTTATAATGTAGTAGGTATTTACATACTTTGTGTTTTGGTTTGATCCGTCTCCTTTCAATATCTTATCTGTACTGAGTTGGTATTATTTTGTCTAGCTCACTTTATCGTATTACACATCAACCTTTTTTGTATTGGAAAAACCGATAATGGATCCTACTATACAGTCAACTACACTATCGTATGGTCGATTATGTTTATCCTTTTCATGTAGCAATCCATTCTGATTCATTTTATTTTTATTTCATAAATTGTTTTTGTTATCTTTTGCAGCCGCGTGACCATTGTCGTCCGTGCTGGTGCCGTCAACTTGACTCGGCCAGCCTTTATCTTCGAGACTACCAAGTACTACAACCACCCTCTGTACATCGAAGCTCTTCAGTCTATCGTACAACCGAACGATATCGGTCTTATCGAGTTCGGCAGATCTATTGAATTCAACGGTTAGTATTGTAAATACATTGTCTTTTGTGTTAGTTGCGTAACATTCTATTACATTATTTATTTTTAAAGTTAATATTACAATGTAATTTAAGACATAATCCACTGTCTCGTTGATTTAGTCAAGATTTTGATCCATTTACTTTAGGGTCAAGATCAAAATTGTATTTATTAGACTTATTATAATAACGAGAGATTACTCCATTTTAAATAATGTCTTTTTAAATAGTTCTTTGAAGAATGAAGAACTTTATGTTGATGACCTTTTACCCTTATTAATGTTAATATATAATTTTGTTTTATTACAGACTTTGTCAAACCCATAAGGATCCAACGTTCTTCCGCGAGCAACACTAACTACGGTGGTACCAGAGCCATCGCCAGCGGTTGGGGACGCACCTGGACTAACGGTACAATACATAATTCAATTGGCTTTAAATTTGCATGATTTTCAATTACTTTTGTTATTTTACAGCTAAAGATCATTTTTATATAAATTACTTTTTGCATTTGATGGCCAATAAATGATAACGTTTTCAACTTGTCATCCACAGGAAACTCTCCCGAGAACCTAAACTGGGTCTACCTCTCCATCGTTACTAACTTACAGTGCTCAGTAGCTTTCGGAGGCAGCTGGATCATCCAAGACTCTACCATTTGCGCCGGTGGTTACAATGTGACCAGTCAGTCTACTTGCCAGGTTTGTTAATAAAAAAGAATATTGCTTACACATCAAAAGCCTGTGAGTGCCCACTACTGGGCCTTACACCTCTTCTCACACGAAGAAGGTTTGAGCATTAATCACCACGCTTGCTCAATGTAGGTTGGTACTGTCTGCTGCTGATTATCATAGGCTTACAATTAATTTCCTGGCCTTTTCTATAAGCGTCTTGAAGATACGAGGCTTTGCCATCTCCATATGGCCATATGCTTGTTTAAGGGATTGGAGACTGTAGTCTAGTTCTAGTTTATCAGATAACACTTCTGCCCTGGTCTCTGTCAAATGTGAAGTCCCTTAATCGGCTCTTTCACCACTCGCAAGACAGAAAGTAATGTTATTTTGTTTTTGTATAGGGTGACAGCGGTGGTCCCTTGACCATCATTGATGACGATGGTGGACTCACCCAGGTCGGAGTTACCTCCTTTGTATCTGGCTCTGGATGCCACACCGACTTCCCAGCTGGTAAGTTGGTCAACCTTGTATTTGATATGAAATTAACTATTATCTTATTGTGTTAAGAAATTAATATTTTATAACGAGTATTTCAGAATTCATGTTTTTTTGTTTGTTTAGGTTTCATCCGCCCTGGCTTCTACCACGCCTGGTTCACTCAGGTTACCGGCATCAACTTCGACTGGGAGTGGTCAAATACTACCCAGCCGCCAGCTAACGTCACCACAACCCAACTGCCACCTAACATTACCACTACCGAACTGCCACCTAATGTTACCACTACGGTATTGCCACCCAACATCACTACTACCGAACTGCCACCTAATGTCACCACCACGGTATTCCCACCTAACATCACGACTACCGAACTGCCACCTAATGTCACCACCACGGTATTCCCACCTAACATCACGACTACCGAACTGCCACCTAATGTCACCACCACGGTATTGCCACCTAACATTACCACCACCCAGCCACCATCTAACGTGACCACTACCACCGCAGCTCCAGACTCTTCAGAATCTTCGGAATCTTCAGAATCTTCGGATTCATCTGATTCTAGTTCATCAAGTTCTAGTTCTTCCTCGTCTAGCTCGTCATCCAGCTCGTCATCCAGCTCGTCATCCAGCTCATCCTCTAGCTCGTCATCCAGCTCATCATCATCTTCTTCCTCTAGTTCATCCAGCTCTTCAAGCTCTTCAAGCTCTTCCTCTTCGTCGGAATCTTCTGATTAAACTCCAAGATTTTCCACTTCAATAACTCAATTCTGATCAATACCATCATGCCTGCCTAATGAAAGGTCTGCTAATAAATAATTAATGTAAACAATATCTGTAATTACCAACACACGCTGTTAAATGATTTTCTCCTGTACACGGAAAATTAAAAAATGAAAAAATTAATGGACGTTTTTTATTGAAATTTGTGAAAAAGATTGTGTGTTTTAATTTGGGTAGTAATAAAAGCTCCGACAAGAAAAGAAGAATTGTCCTTACTGAAAATATTAAATCTACTTCCTAAAATACTGACTTTCCGACTACTTTACATGACTGTTTATTGCTACAATACTACTAATCTAACCTAAAACGTCTGTTGTCGGTAACTTAGTAATTTAGTCGGAGGTTCAATATTCTATTCGGAAGTTTAGTTTTTTTATTCGAAGATTCATTTTTATAGTCGGCCACAGATCGCTGGAGATTAATTTGTTTTTCGGAAACATTATTATTTTTCTTTTAATTTTCCTTATTAGACGATATTCACGTGATATTATTATTGTGTTTTTGATAAGTCTAGTTTTAGCAACCATTCCAATGGTTACTTAGCATCACTTAGCATTGACCTAAAAACTACCGTACTTAGGGCGTCTAGCGTCTCGCCTAAAATATAGTAAAACATATTTTTGTTACCCAGATTCGTATTTAGTGATGTATAAATAAATACTCACACATAAGTGTGTTTATTCAATTAAGAAATTCTGTTTACATAGGTAAAATATAGAACATTTGGAAACTTAAGATTTTCTAGAAGTCGATAACAATGGATAGTTTGGTGCGTCTGATTATAATATTTAACATAACATAACATCACGCCTTTTATCCCTGAAAGTGTAAGCAGAGGTGTTAGTAACATTATGTATGCCACTGTACAATGTAACACCCACTTTTCACTACGTTATGTGTCCCATGTAATAGGGGGTGAGCCTATTGCCATATACCGGGCACAATTCCAGACTCCGTGCTACCACTAAGAATTTGTAAAAAACCAGTAATTCTTTGCCCAACCCGGATATCGAACCAAAGACCCCTTGCCCGGCAGTCGCAAATGCGACCACTCTGCCAACGAGGCAGTCATTATCAAGAGATTATAATATTTATACCTTTTTTTCATTAAATATCACTTATATTTATTTGATGCGAAAGGTTGTGAGGACGATCAAGTATACCTAGGTATAGATTTTGTTACCCTTTGACGCAAAATTACAGGACGGATCTGAACGCATACAAATAGATTTTAAATTAGAGTGACATAGGTTACTTTGTTCTAAAAATGCGGGTGAACCCGTTGGCAGTAGCTAGTCGAACATAACTGTAGAGATGACCACAAAGAGGTCACTACAGGTCATTGTTCTAGTTTAGTAACCTATTTTGTTTAGTTTATAAGTAGGAAATAGGTATATGCAGTTTAATAAGTATTAATTAATAATGTCAATTCATTTGTGGCCAGTACTTTTTAGTACTTTTAAGTACTCTGATTTACTTTTAATATTTGATACATGCTCTAAAGTGCTTAATATTTTCTAAATGCCATGTTCTAAATTTGAAAATCGTCGAGTTGGCACATTTTAGGCACCCTAACCTTACATTAAACACTTGTCGGCACCGGTTCTGATCGATTCTAACGCCTGTAGCTACTACGAAAGCGAAAATTTGACAATTTAACTCAAAAGCTGATGTAAATAAGGTTGAATTTCAAATGACAATGTCTAATTTATTTCTTTTTCTCAAAATATGAGTGTTTTAAATGATTTTTCATGGTTTTTGTATCAGATATGGTGTGGTAGTAGTTTTTAAGGCAGGTGCGAGTAGCCGGTCGCGTGGACTAGCGACAAATCGCACGGAAATAAAAATAGGCGCATGGTGCTACAGCGTCGTATTGCAGTGGCGGACTACCGCGCATGCGTAAAAGGGTTGCCACGTTAGTGACCTATTTTCCCGTGAAAATATTTTTGTTTTCTAAGAGCAAGAGTAAGATACATGTTTGTTAATATTTTGATCTTGTGTAATGAGTTTATTGTCTTTATTATTTTTATCCATTTTTACGTGATTATTAGCTACCTGGTTAATAAAGAATGTTGTGTAACATAATTAGATTAAATCTAATTATGTTACATATATACATGTAACATAATTAGATTTAATCTACATACATGTTGGTATTTAAATTTTAAACCAAATCTAAAAATATGTATATGACATTACATTTTTATAGAACTGAATTATACTAGACTATCCATAAGTTCTTTTTGAGATATTATTAACGTAAATGTACTTAATTACATTTTTTAAAGGTGACTTTGAGTCAATTCTGTCTATTGTTATAATAGATAAATGTTTAGGCTCATTACTATTAGAATTCATCGTACGCAATATTTTAAAAGAGCAGAAAAGTTTGTCAATTTTACGAAAAACACGAATTTAAAAGAATTAAAAAGTAACAACAAACTCCCTTAATAAAGTGGAAAATTCAAAGTATGGCAGCACTGGATTGCATTTGGCGCGCGCGCGAATCGCCCTTCCAAATCAACATGGCGAACGCTCGGGGAGCGCGCCTCGTCTCATAAAACAACCGGATAATCACATTCTCACAACACGTATTTATTATTTCAATATATCGTTCGTATAAAATGTTATAGTGTCCGATCTACGGGTGTGAATAGTGAATTCTTTTGTGTACACAGTGAGTTATTGTTTATTGCATGAGTGGTGCTCATGGGGTGGCCGATGTACGGGACGATGGACGTGATTCACCTGCCAGCACCGAACAGCTAACGTAAGAATATTCAATAGACATGTAATATTATGGGGGACATAGCGAGTGTCACCTACATAGCGTCTTCGATCGTTATTCGCGTCACTTTGTATGTTTTCTGTGGTAAAGGTCCGGCGTCGTGCATAATGACGATTTACCGCACCCCTCATGGCAGCCTTTCATTGGAATAGGTTTTTTTTACTGAATATACAGCCTGTGTGTGCTTTGCCATGAGTGAAATATGTGGACAATGCTGTATGAATTTAATGAATGCACGTTTTGCACATCCTTTCGTGGAAAATTTGTCACTTTATAAAAATAAGTCGTGATTTTCTCTAAATGATCTTTAGGAGGTGAATCAGCTTATTATAGTTTTTCCTGTTAAGAATTTTTCTTTTAATGACGCACACTCTCGAGTTTTCTTCTCGCGTTTTTCATCTTATTTACGTGATTTCAAGAAATATGTTTTACCGGTTAGCCTAAAAGGTTTAAGTATTTAAAACTTTTGCACTTAATAATGTAAAGGGCAGCTCTTTTTATTGAATTTTTGAAAATAGTTGTGTGTTTAATGTCCTTTGATATTGTCAGAGTCCAAAACGTGTTTCTAGACAAAGAGGTAACTTAAAGAAGACTTGAAATATCTATAATGTAGGTAGGTACCTACTTTCTAGATTGCTTTACCATTTACGTTTTGTGAAACTTCAATGGTTTTTTTAAGGTAGTGGTGTTAATGTTTAGTTGATTTCAATAGAAATGGAAATATAACATAATAGGGGCTCGATAATTAGCGCTTCGCCTGTGCCTGTGTAGGTACGCGTCGACTTCGACCCTCTGCCCGCGAGAATATTGTTGAGTGTAAACCTGTGTTACTCGCTAATTTGTGTTACCCCGCCATTTTTTATACCTACACATGTATTGTTTCTTTCAGTAATATGTCTATTTTGATATCTACATGAATTTAATTTCGGACCTTTCCAAATATGTTCAATATTTACGGTAGGTATTCCGTAAACGGTGGCCAGGAATATTGAATTCGTTTTCCTCATAAAAACTCCTAATTCAACTTATTGTTACGTTACAATCTAATGTTAATACATCGAATGTTCACGTTAATCTTGTTAATAGTCAAAGTCAAAGCATTTATTTCAATTAATCCTTAATTAGGCACTTTGAAACGTCAAAAATTGAATAGTCCGTTCGCCTGTCTGTCAGTGAATAAAAATAAATGTCAAAGTTACCGGGAAAAGCAAGGATGGGCCGGTAGTAAAATGAGTATTTTCTAATCAGATATACATATTCTTATTTGTTATAGGCATAATTGTTGTCAATTACATTCAAACATAAGTGGCCGTGAAATGTTCACGAATCACGATGTGTTGAAAGCCATTCCGTTCCGTGCGTTAGCATCTAGTTGTCAACAGGATTGTCTAAGTACCTATTTAAACGTATATCAATTTGTCACGATGTAATCACTTTAAATGAGTGTGGAAATACGTGTAACGACAGGTCGTTTAGTTTATTTATTTATTTATTTAATTCAACACATCTTAACAGGTTACACCCAATGCGATAATGTTGTCACTTAATATAAAAACTTATAATTAACATTAATAATAAAAACTTAATACAAAAACTTATAACAACAACACAGCCATACATATTATTTGCACTTATCCATTAACTACATAATAATATGTACAACTAACAACATCAGTCATTACCTTTATGAACTCCGCCAATGAGCAACAGAAATATCAACCTTTTGTCCAACGTTGTTAATTAATTTAATAGCTCTAGCCACAGGAGCATATCGACCTATGTTAGTGCGACTAGTGGGGACCTCAAATAGTCTCTGCCTCGGGCTCAGCCTTAGAGCTTTGTATTTGGGACGAGCAACCTCAACGAAGCCAGTATGGATGGTTACTGTTTTAGTAGTCAAAAACAAATGACAACCGACCGTGTTAGAGGAAGTATTGAGGTATACTGTTTACAGAAATATTAATAATCTATGGTACAGTACAAGCACCAAAGCATGCTTCAATTGAGCACTTGCACTTGTCATTTAGTAGCATGTGTGTCGGAATGTTGTTTAAAATTATAAGTATGAGAGAGCCATGCTTCGGCAAGAATGGGCCGGCTTGACCGGAGTGATACCACGGCCGAACCGACGTGAAACAACGCTTGCGTTGTGTTTCGTGTGAGTGAGGTTACCGGAGGCCCAATTACCGGGCCCTAGTCCCCGTCTCCCAAATCCTCCACAATCCTCAAATTCCCAATTCCCAGAAGGCCGGTAACGCACTTGTAACGCTTTGGCGTTTCGAGTGTCCATGGGCGGCGCCGATTGCTACCATCAGGTGATCCGTCTGCTCGTTTACCGGCTTATGCCATAAAAAAGCTGGCTCATTTCGGGCATACTTGTGAAACGACAGGTGTTAGATTTTTTTTTGAGCATGCTTCTTAAAACGGATTTCAGCATGCTGATTTAGAGCATGTGTACCGTTTGACCACTTATACCTGATTGAATATCGTTTGTGCTCGCAGACAAAATAGGTGGTCTAGGTGCGTATAGAAATACTCCCAGCCTAGCAAGGGACTTCTATTCCTGGCTTGGGGTGGATTTTTCGGAAGATGGTTTTGCAAATCAACAAATTTGAAGAGTTTGCAGGCTTCCGAAACCTCCAGCTTCTTTTAATTATAATAAAAATGGAGGAAATGAGTGCCTACTATACCTAAAAATATACAGCTCTGTATACTCTATCGGGGATTTGTATAGGTTCTTTTTAAATTGGATCAGTCTGTTCCAGGAGATCCGATTTCAAAAAATTGGTGTTGGATATTTTCTCCGTGGGATTACTTATTGGGATAAAAATGTCGATTATTATATAGCTTTTCTCGTGTTTCCAATTATAATGATATTAGACAGCACTGACATCCTAGCCTATGTTTTAAGTATGTATGTTTAAAACCTTTTTATGGATTATTAGCGATCGTATTTTGTACGTTACGGATAAAAGTATTATAGGTGACTTCCTGTAGGATACCGCTGTAGAATAACATGTTACCTAAATCAGATTATTGTAATTGCTTTAAACTGTCAAACATCAAGCGGTCACCGGTGACCGCGACCTATTGTTCTTTAATTGTGTCTATAAAACCGGTACTCGACGAGTTAATTCCCAAATAATGATGTTGATAAAATCACTCGACTGGTTTCGAGCCATTCCGGTAGTCCACAATTATGAGCAGAATACGCGACGCGTTGAGTGTCGTACAATCAACTTAGATTCGGTTAATAATTATACTATTTCAGACTACAAATTAATATTGAGATAGGCATAGAGATTGTATTATTTTACTTTAAAAGCCAATGCAGGTTTTATCAAAGAATATCGTCAACAAATTAACACCGAAAATTCTTTTAACCACCATTTCTTTTCTTGTAACGTTAATCCTTAGTTCGTGACATCTAGTTACCATTTAGGTTATAAAACATTGTTGTTGGTTGAATTGAGCCAGTGTGTCAGGCACGTTGGCTGAGAGCCAAAAGCCAGAGTTACGCCTCAGACGACGTCGACGTCATCTTTGCGTAAAAATCCATACGTGTTGTGTAACGTTCTTATCTGGGTAGACGTCAGGAGTCCAACGTCTGTGTTCCACGTCATTGAGGAGCACAGCTGTCTAGGAATATGTTTAATGATTCTATTTACGTTGAAGAGTATATAAAGTATATAGAGTCTGGCAAACGAAAGTAGAGACTGAAAAAGCCCGGCAAATTTAAAAAATATCAGTATAGCAACCCAAAAATTAGTATGTCATACCTGGTGTTATATATAACCTAATTTGATACTTTATAATAATTTGTTTGTTTGTTACGTCTTCACGTCTGGTTACTCCAGGTATGACATACTAATTTTTGGGTTGCTATACTGATATTTTTTAAATTTGTCGGGCTTTTTCAGTCTCTACTTTCGTTTGCCAGACTTTATTAGATATATTTAGATACACCAAATAATAATAAAAAAGTTTACAATTTACAAGAGCATATTAGCGCAGTGACATCCAGTGATCAATGATGTACATTCTGCCTCCGAGTGAAAAGAGGTTGCTAAGCTGATTTATTATTATGATTCAGGTATTTCTAAGTAACAATGAGTCTGTAAGGTTTGTAAACACAACATTATTGACCTGGCTACTTGCGTAAAAGACTATTTTCCACAAGTAAAGTTTGACATTCTGTTATGTGTTCCCAGATAATAACATAACATCACGCCTTTTATCCCCGAAGGGTTAGGCAGAGGGGCACATTATATTGTGTTCCCAGAATCGGGGACAATCCCATTGTTATTACACTCATGGATTATGGTATGTTGACGTTTTGTTGGCAACCATTCTAATGTGGTGCACGTGCTTAATGCTGGAAGCCTGGAACCTTTCGATACTTCTGTCTATCCGCATCATCAAAGAGTTGACTCGTAAAGAAATCTCAATCATTAGGTACTAGCTGGTCTCTTAAGCAGCTAATTCTGGTGATAAGTAGATTTTTGAGACTGGTAAGTCCTTAAAGAGCAAAAAAGTATTGTATGATACAATACCAAGATGTTATACATGCAACAAAGTTACGTTTTATAAACCTTAAACCACCCATTCACCCATCTGTCTACGCTTTTATTATTTCTTGCTGACACTATACTTGGTAGTATTGTTCACACGTAACGCAATTCAAGAACACGTAGGTACATATAAAGGCAGATTTTTTGCAAATAAATCATATTTATCACTAGTATTTGATACTCAATGATTTCAGTTCTTAACTAATTTTATTCAAGGTCCATAATCATCTACTCTACTAACTATCTTTTAATGCAAGTTTATGCGGAAGAATAGTTTTTTTGAATAAGCGCCAATTTGGCAACATGTAGGTATCGGAGAAATACAATTGTCACCCATCATTAGATGTTATTGTTTGTTATTCATATTTTAGAGAACAAATTGCTAAAGTAAATTATATTTAAAGGGATTTT